ATTAATAAAAATTGAACTCCATTATTAATCTGCTTTTGTCAGAAATCAGCTAATAACTGTTAAAAAAATATGAATCTTTAAATAATATATTATTAATACAAATTAAATAATAATACTAAAGTAAGGTTCTTTATATAGATAAATAACTTTAAAATTAGATAATTAAATAATTCATAAATTAAATAATTATTGAAATGCTTTATTAATAATTAATTAATATGTTGAATATGTTTAAGCAGGCTTCAAAATATGAAAAAACGTCAACGCTTATCATATTCGAAAATTTTTTGGGTTAAATATATATTTAGTGACAGCAGCCTATGGTCGGAACTATGCGTTACAGAACTATATAGAACACGTCGAAAACTGTAAAATTTCATTGTTCAAATTTGAAAAAATGTGCAATGATATGCTAACTTGTCTTGAAAGTTAACATATCATTGCACATTTTTTCCAAATTTGAACAATGAAATTTTATAATTTTCGACGAGTTCTATAGTTCTATAGCATAGTTCTGACCGTAGGCTGCCACTAAATATATATTTAACCCAAAAAACTCAAATTTTCGAATATATATGATAAGCTGGCCGTATTTCGAACATTTAATTTATCCTGAAAATTTCGAAACTCTAATTAATATTTACCGCAATAAAATATATTAATATGTATACATAGTAAAATTAATCGAATATATTTGATTTGTGTAGATATTAATATTTATCGTGGCAAATATGAAAAATTCGCTCCCAATATATATCATATTGTCACGATTACCCTATGATTTTCAGGGTAAATTCTAAAAGAAAATTCTCTTCGTGTACGAATCAACAGTATATATTTAAAGCAGGCTTTTCACATACCGTGCAAATTCGCGCTAAATTTACCTCGCTATATTTATCCGTATCTCGTATTCTTACCCCGAGTGCTATTTGATCAACTATTAAGCAAAAGCAAAATCAATATTTCGACACGTGATTGTCGCATTCCGTCAGATTCCTCTCCGTCGTTCTTGGAACACTAGAGTCGCGAGAAGCGGACTTCGTCGGAGCGCTATAAATGAAATAACACCTCGATCTGTCCGACAGATTAATCTCTTCCTTTCTTACAAACTTCGTGCCCCTCGTTCGCACGAATCCACTTTGCGTCGTAAACATCGTATATCGTCGGGAAAAGCTTAAATGAATATTGAGAAGTTCCTTCGAAGCTGCGCTTCGTAGCTTCGTTTCTTCTCGGAACGGAGAGCATCGTGTAAAAATAGTAAAACGGCGTTAGAACTCGAGCAAAAGGAAACTAATTGTGCTACTTTACTGTCAGGATTGTCATGCCGTATTTAGTTTACCTAATGGGTTTTATTAGTTCCTTGTAAAAGATGACGATGTGCGAAATGTTTATTCTTCGACGAGCCGATATAGCTTCCAAGAATTTTCATAAATAAACGGAATTTACTTTTGTTTTTTAATTATTATTATGTAATTATTATATAGGTAGTATATATGTAAATTATTATATAATAATGTATATAATTTATTATATATAATAATTATATAATAATATATACTAGGTACATCAATTTTTATTATTATACTACATCTGTTCCTTTTATTATTGCAAAATGTCAGAAAAATAATTATACAAAATAATGTGAAAATCAATATTATTGATAATATAGCTAGTCGAGAATGTTTGGAAACAATATCAACGTTTTACATATCTTTTAAGGTAATATCAAATAAAACGGGTCAAACACACGCTACACGTTCGATTTAACAATATTGCACAGTATTGCAGGAGCGAATGACATAACACGCGGAAGGCCAGAAAAAAATGATAAAAAAAAGTGTTATTTTTTTTTATAATTGCGACCCGACTAATCGAACCATCGAGACGGAAAAAAAAGTCGATCAAAGGAGTCGCGCGATATCGTCAACGAAGCGAGAGGACGCGTGCAATTTGCCTTTCATTAGCAGCAAACGTGCTTGTGACAGACACAACAGTTTCGAGGGGGTACAAACGATAAGATGAGAATTCGCGCGATGAATTCTCGCGCGAGCAACGGGATTCCTTTCGTTACTTCTGCCGTGATTTACCCAGCTAATTAGACTCGGTCTCGCGTTGGCTCTAATTACCGACGAAAATATAATTACCGAAAAATTTCGAGTCCCCTTTTATTCAAACGGTATACACAAAAGTATCAAGAATCGCGAACCGATTTGAAGAATAAAAAAAAAAGGAGCAAAAAGGATCAAATAATTTGCGTCTCGAGAGCATCGATGGAGACTTATTAAAGTCACGGAATGAGACGAATTTCTCGAGCTAGAAAAGTGAAATTCGAGGAAAGAAGCGTATTTTTCGTAAAAGGGTTTACATTGTATGTATCATCCTTTGTTATAAACCGGTCGCCGCGACGCGATTTCGCAATCGGCAGGAAGGGCCTCTTCCGGCCCTTACGAAGCTTTCTTGGCCGATCGTATCTTATCCGCCCGTGACTCGTAAAACGTGCGAAACCGTTGACTAAGGATCAGGAAGGGAATCACGCGTGCGTGTCGCGCCGTGATGTGTGCATTACACAGGTGTGCAAATGGAAGCGGCAATAAAGTATCCTTAGACAAGCACTTCGCCGAGGGTAGACAAATAATAGCGTCGCTCTTCAAAGAACAGGATAGACCTTAATCGCCTCTTTGCGCATCGCTTAAAAAGCACCTCGTACCTTTAATTTCACTTTAATTGAATCGACGAGAATGCGCCTCATTCTCTTCTCCGACGTGTTAAATATCGTACGGTATAGGCAATAGAAACGTGTTGCAAACAAAGACAGTCTTTTTAACCCTTTTGCGCTTAGCACGCAACAGGTCAACGCGTTGATCGGAGAGGGAAAAAGGGGTGATATAATTTTCTTGCACGTGTATACTATGTGCGTGCATGCGGGATCGAAAAAGCAGGATGATGACGTCACACGTAAACTCGCTCACTGGTGCGCTCACTAGTCGGACAAACGTGCTGGCGTGCATTCGGATAGGTCCCACAAAGGCCTGCACGGTCCCTCGGACTGATAATAATTACGGGAGGGGCTGAAGCGGACTTCCGCTCAAACGTACATATATATAGTATATATGCTCGATCTGCGGCGAAGTGGCCGTTGTGTCACGAGTGCGAACAAAATCACCTATACGAATGTTTCGTAGACTCGAATCGACTCGAGTCCAATTTTTATATATACCGAAAAAGTGCATGTGTTACCAATTAGTCCAGGAATATTATTTTTCAACCTCCATACCGAGAGAATTTTCTCTTAGAATTTATCCTGAAAATCGTGGAATAATATAGCATATAATATTAATATTTACATAATAAATTTTACTATGTACATAATATAAAATTAATCGAAAATACTTTATATACATGTATCTTATTGTGATAGATATTAGTATTTTTTATTATGATAAATATTAATCGGAGCAACTCTTGTAAAATTCTTTCAATATCATATTATCCCGCACGATTACCATAATTTTCAGGGTAAATTCTAAAAGAAAATTCTGTGCATGATTAATTAATTAATTCATGAGGTATTTTCTATGTTATTATTTGTATACTAATAATTATAAATGCTTTGTAGATGCTTTATATATTAATTGATAATTTGATCAATGAATACTCTAGCGATTACTAAAGGACTACTTTAAAAAATCATGATTATAAAAATCAAAGTAAACGTCAAAGTAAAAAAATGGTTATTGACGTGATTAAAAAAGAACAGTATTAATACTGTTATAATTACTTGGTATTTTATTGCACCGGATTTCGCGTGACGCTAGATACATAATTACTGGGTAAATAGAGTTTACGAGGCTCGCGGAATAAATGATCCATTCACTGTGTAAATATTCGCGAACCAAATGATACTCGGGTCGTGGAAATGATTCCAACATACCTGACGAGATTCGCCCGCTTCGATACATTAATGCGCGGATAATAATATGGTAATAGAAGGAAATAAGCATGAAAAGGCATACTATACTGCAGGGATTCCAGATAATTTCACATAGTTTCGAACGATTAGTTTTGCCGTCTGCCCGATCGGGGAACGCTTAACAACGAAATAAAAGGCAAGCGGAAATATGGTCTGGTTACTTTCCGCATAAACAGTCGTACACACATGAAAGAATTCTCTCTCATTTCGATCTGTAAAGTGCGCGTCACGGTTTCAAAATACCTAGCTTGTCTTCTATCTTATTATTGAAAGAAGAATCGGAAAGAACGAAGATTCCGCGCGCGATCAGAATTCAAAATGAGAATTTATATTCTTCAGAATACATCGATTCTTTTCCCTGTAAATCGGAGGTTTCTATTGAAAGAGTCGCGCGCATGCTTTCTTATCTATTTTAATTTTTCACATTTAAATAATAATAGAATTCAGTCTCTTCGGTATTGATTTACAAAAATTATGGAAAGTATATGATTCTCCAAGTGACTAATTTACAATTATAAAACAGAAAGTTCATATTTTGTTGCCCTTTTCTTTACTACATTCTGCAAACAGTACACAGAAAGAATTTTGTCTCTTGAATTAATAAAGAATTTATCCTGAAAATCAATATGGTATTGGACGAATTTTATAAGAGTTTCTCGGATTAAAATTTACCACAATAAAAAAATATTAATATCTCTCACAATAAGATATATTCGATAAATTTTATTACGTACCTATTAATATTTTTTATTATGATAAGTATTATAAGAAACTCTTAATATAATAAAATTATTCTTCCAATATTATCCCACGATTTTCATTTTAAATTCTAAGAGAAAATTCTCCGTGTAGATTTCAGATTGTCGAACGACGAAATGATGATGAAGTGACAAAACGCGTCGAATGATATATAAAGACACGCATTAGAGCAGATGTGTATATACTTCCGATGTGTTTCCGTTTTGCGGAAACATGCATCTCGAGGATGAATATGCGATAATAAAGCCGACGAGGCATAAAATAAACTCACCTTTCGAAGTTTCTCCAATTCGTTCGCATCTGCAGCTGACTGTGCCGCCTGTCAAGAATAGAAAGCATCGAATTATTCGACAGTCGTCGTCTATATCGCGTTGTAAACGAGTTATATATTTTCATCGAGAGATCGCGAACGTTTCTCTCCTCCCTGATTATCCGCGTTGCATCTTTCGACATTTAATAGATCCGACACAATGGCGGATACGGGCCGGCAGCATATATCCATCAGAAAACTACGTTTATTGTATTTAAATCGAGTTACAAAACACTCGCGCGCGTTCTAACGCTCGAAGGATTTCATTGCGCTTTGCTTCCAATTTCGTAATTAGTCGTAAAGCAGAAACGCACGCACTGTAACCAAGTACGCACTGCTGCTGTGTTGCTGCTGCTATCATTATTCTTACGATCTTATATATCGTCGTAATTCAAGCGCGATATTAAACTTCACCTAGCAATCAAATAAGAATAATCATTTCATCGTCCTATGCATGGGAGATTTAACTCCAGACGAATGTTTAGAGAGATTGCAGCTTCCTTATATAGATTCTCAAATTGGGAATAAATGTAATTCGGAATTGCACAATATTTGATAAGAAAAGCTGAAGAAAGGATAGATAATACAGATTATCTGTGTCTTCTTTCGCGAAATTACATTTTTACACTCTCGAATCTTACATCATATCATGTAAATCTCTGATATATGTACATACAGTGACCATATTTTCTGAAAAAATAAAACTGAAAAGGGTTTGGTTCAACATATTTCCAAATCAGTTTTCAATTAAATCGACGAGCAAAAAAATAATTTCTTATAGTTTGAAATTGATTCGATTAAAAAAGTCCTTGATTGTTTGAATAAAAGTCCTTGGTTTTTTAAATAGATTCCGGATAAGTTCCATTGTTTTCATACGAGTTCTAATATTAATACTGCATTAGATATTAAAACATAAAGGACAAAATTAAATATTGAAAAATGAATAAATCTAAAGGACTTCTACTTGAAATACAGGACAGTCCTCTAAAATCTAAAATAAAGAACGGATGCACGGAGAGAATTTTCCCTTAGAATTTACCCTGAAAATCATAACCGTAGGACAATATATGGTATTGGAAGAATTTTAGAGAGAGATTCTTTGATTAATATTTACCACAATAAAAAATATATAGTAAATTTTAGTCCTAAATATTAATCGAATCTATTAATTTTTTATTGTGATAAATATGAATCAGAGAATCATAAAATTCTCTCAATATTGATCCATGATTATTGATTTTCAGGGTAAGTTATAAGAGAAAATTCTCTCTGTGTGGTCACTGTAGATATAAAGGATACATTGCAACATCTCTAAGGTGTGTGATACTTCACGTACAAAGCTACCGTTAAAAAAGAGAGGAGAGCACGTTGTGCGAAAGGAAACACTGCAACATTCACCTCATTTTTCGGCTTCGGCTGCTCCCAGGGAGCGTCGTTGTCGGCGCCGTTTGCCGGCTTGTCATCCCCAAAATTCACGAGCGAGAAGAAATTGTTGTTCCGGGCGTTGTTGTTGCGATCCTCCCGGTGATCGTTCACGACGGCGTTGTCGAGCAGCTCGTAATCCAGGGACTTGCAGTCGCGACCGCTGCTGATGAAGTTTCTCGCGAACGCGCTCTTGAAGAAGCGACCGGGTGACACTTCGCTGCCGAGGGCGAATTCCACCTTCGGGGTCTCGGTCGTCATCGCGCCCCGCTGCCGATGACGATTATAATGAAGCTCTAAAGTCGATCTAGGGGATCGAACGCACAAAGAACCACCAATAAATGCGTGTTTTCGTCGTTTCTCTACGCGCGAACCATCGCTTCGCGAATCATCGCCGCGCACAGATTCGCGTCCCGAGAGGAAACAAAACACAACACGGTAGATTTCTGCCCCAGTTCGGAAGTCAATCGGGCGGCTATTTAAATCGCCCGGATCCGTGACGACCGGATGAATGACGAAAAAATCGTAGACGAGACGCGCGGTACACCGGTGCGTGTCAAACTGAGCGCCAAAGTCCGCGCGCAGTCCTTTTCTAGTTTCTCCTGCCTCTCCTCTGCGCGCATGCGGCCCAATCGCGTGACGGTCCGCGAGGATCCGCACAACTGTCAGATATATTATCCCGAGAAAACAGAAAAGCCCTCCCGTTTTCACTCTTGTCGGCATGAGAAAATTTATTTTGAAATTTATTGATTGAATAAAAATTATGAGATTTGGGAACTTTTTCTTTCTTAGTACGTTTATTTAAAAAAAAAAAGAACTTTTTATTATATATGTATATATACTTTAGAATTATTTTTTTTCTTTCGTTTTCGATTAATTTTACCTTATTATACCGAGCAAATTTATTTTTCAAAAATCATTGCAAACTAGTATTTTATATTTCTCAACCAGCATAAGTTTAGGAAAAATAAAAATGATCAGCTGCCGGGGTAACAGCTGTCTAACATCTGGACCCATATATTAGGGGATTTGTCAGCGAATTTTCTCTGGAGAAAAGAATATACCTTCAGAATTTATAAATCGTAATTGTAAATTTTACTGTCTTTTGTAAAAAAAAAAAATAAAATAGTGGACGAAAGAGATTGCGAAAATTTCATATTTTTCATAATAACCGAAATATCTCTTGAAACACTTTTTACATCTTCCATTTGATATTTCCGATAGACGCTATTTTATTGTGAAATAATTTTTAATTCTGTTTAAATTAAATTTGTCAATTTAAATAAATGTAGGAATTTTGGAAATAAATATAGGAAAAGAAAACTGGAATAAGTTCGAATGGAAAATGTAAAAGTGGGATATATATATCTAATAAACGAATAGTTTATATTTATATAATTATAATAAAATAATTAACAATTTTTACAGTTGTCGCTTATAATTAGAATGAAAACAAATAAGTTGTGATTATATTTTTTTCAACGCTCCGGACGAGTCTGGATCCCCGGACTGATCAATATTCGAGGCATCTTTCGTCGAGTCCGACGAAAGGCGTATGGGGGATTGGAAATTCAAAGAAACCCTCTTGGATTTTCTGAGCATGAGAGGAGACAGTTCGGGCGGTTCGCCATAATATTGGAGTTTCTCGAGTCGTCTCTGGATCGAGGGATTAGATGCGACATAACTCGGGCTGCTGTCGGCTCCTGATCTCGGTGCCGCCAGCGGCGACGTGTAATCGCATCTTTTGTCCACGCTCGATGCGATTGAATTATATATTTTAATCGGAGTACTTTTACTCGTCACATAACGCGTCGGCGTTGACTTCTTTTGCAATTCCACATTAAGCGCGAAAGTACACCTTTCAGCATACTTAATTGGATCCTTAAAATTCAAGTTTAATAGATAAGTGCATCTCGGCTTGGAAAAAATAATTATGATAATAATTAAATATATATAGTTCTGAAGTTGAAAGCTTTAATATAAAATATTCACAAATAAAATGAAAACTCTTAATTAACCCATCCTCCCATTTTATCTGTGAATATTATAAGTAATAATTTTTTTGCGAAAAGCATTAACTAATTTAATAATTATAAAAATACAATTAAAAATAAGAGATTGTGTATGGGAAATTGTAGAAATTATAAATTATAAAAAAATATAAAATAAAGGGGGAAAAAATATAACGTACCGTGATTAGATTTTGTAAATTTTCGAAGGCCTCGTAAAGATGATTTCGACGAGGATTGCACGTAAAAATAGTTCTGTCCGTGCAATACGCCGCTGGGATATTCCATGAAGTTGCTCTTCGCCATTCTAAATTACTGCACGCTACAATAGATCCGACAGTAAGAATATCTGTGTAGCCATAGCCGGCTATTCCTTGCCAAAACAATATCGAAAGATATAAGGAGTCATTCGAATCCCTTTTCGGATACGCCAAATGTACGACCTCGAAATCTTTCATACCCTATAAAAGATACGTTCATATAAAATATTAAACTGAGAATTGTAGATATAAAAAAATTCAATAGCTATCTCAAACATGAAATTCTAACATAATTATTCAATTTTTCAAATCGTGCATTCTTTTTTTTATATTTTTATACTTTTTATAATCTTTTAAACAGTATTCGCATTCAAGTTATCCCAGAAATTTTAGAAAAATATGATAAAAATACTTACATAAGGGGCAGGGCCGACAGAACAGACAAAACCCACCGTGTCGAATTCTCCGTAAGGTGGAGCAAACTCAGAATTGACCATTTCGCAAAAGGACGTGTATACTCTAGTAGGATATGACGTATCGTGCATCTTTACCGGTTTAAAAATCGAGGACCGACGCGCGGTGAGTTGTAATTCGGTTCCTCTGTCGAAACAATTGTATATATTTATTCAGATAAAAAATCCAGCATTTACGTATGTACCGCGCGCGATACAGTTATTTCTCTCTCCTGTGAGAAAATGATATGCATACCTCCTTCCAGAAGCGACGACGTTATAGAGCGAGACACACGCGCCTTCTCTGAGGGCATTGACAACTTCCTCGCCGGGCGACCAGATTGACAGGATTGCGTTTACGTTTTCGTCGCATACGCGAACCTTGAGCAGCTGAGAAACTTGTCGCGGCTCCGGCAAACTTTTCCGCAATTTTGATTGTAGGTCTTGCATGAATGTCTCTTTTTCCTGCTGCAATTCTTGCAATAATTCGTCGCTGCGTCGTTTCTTCGAGGCGGATTTCTATATTTAACGTATGACGAATCGAATAAAATTTATATAAGCTAAGGATAATAATTTAAATAAGTTAATCACAGTACCTGTGAAGACGAGCTTTTGTAATCTTCGTCCAACTTATCTCCGGAAAGTTTTTGAAAATCTCTCTCCGCGTTAGCATAAAATACTTCGATCTTGGACAAACATTGCTGTTCATACGTGCTTTGTGCTTTCGCCTCGCTTTTAGCGTTTCGAATAACTGTCGCGAGAAAATAATTTTTAATATAAGAAATTTAAATATAAGAAAAATTTAATATTATTTTTAATATAATATTTAATATATATCAAATTTAATATAAGAATACAAATTATCTCGCTAGCTCGTTACGACTCTCCGCAACTTTTAATTCAAACGTATCTTACTCGAATCTCCGGATGCGGTTTTCTCGTGATATAACGTCGGATACACCCTAGCGACAATAATTGTCATTTTTCCAATTAAACCGCCGTTCGGACAGACGTTATGTAATTTGATGGGTATCGGTCCTGAGCACGGTGTGTACCCTAATTTCGCGTCCCATCGTGCACGCCTGGTTGAATTTGTGTGTAATTTTAAACACACGGAAGCTGGTGCCTGCGATAAGAAATTAATAAAAAGAGATAAAAAAGAAAACAATTCCGAAAAAAAATCGACGCCTACCTCCAGTGGATAGAAACCTTGATCGCAATTTAGCAATTCCGCGCCAGATATCACCAATTTCGTGCCCTCTCTTACTTTCCCAGTTGATATGCTCTTCACCAATCCTATATCGATACAAACAGGTACACTGTACCAGCCATCAGTTAATTCTATTCTCCATTTTGGCACTCCTATACGCGGACTCTTCCCTATCTCCGTATTTACATTAGTCTACAAATTAAGATACGTGTAACACATCGAGAAAATATTGAATTTTTCCACATGTTATATAATAAATAATATAATATTATTTAATAAATATATTACTTATTAAATAATATAATATATTCATGTAATATAATAATATATATATATATATATATATATATATATATATATTTATATATAATTTCTATATAATTTCTATACAATAAAATGTATATGTATATTACTTCTTCTATAGATGAGACGCATAAAATCATTCTCTTAGACGCGACGTCGTCCTTCTCCAAGATACGTCTTATAGCAGATCGCTGAAACTGATCAATCTCTCGATCGTATCGGTACTTTAATTGCGCCATCACGCGTGAAGGTGTTAATGCCCTGAAATTTAGGAAAATTATTCAAATTAATTTCTTTTTGCTAGATAGATCTCTCGTGCAGCTAAATCTATTCGATTCCTAGAAAATTAGAAACGATTTTTGTACTAATTTCATAAAAGATAATACCTAGGTAACTTGGCCGAGCCGAATTTCATTCTGTCCATCGACGCCAATTTCCATACGATCCAGCGGTAATGATTCTCGACCCAGCGTGCGGGAACCAGATTCGGATCTACACCCGAACTCGCGAGGAAAGCGCGAAGGAACTCCCAGATTCCCACGTAACCATTCTCATCCAGAATCAGGCGCACCTCGTCCTCCATTTCTATTCCGCGAACGTTGGTCCGCACTTCTTCGTTCCCGTAAAAATCGGAGCAGCGGAATGTATACGACGAGGCTGTCGCGGCGGTGATCCCCAGAATACTCGGCGATATTCGTCGATCAACGAGTTCCTGATATGAGAGCGGTACAGGAGATGCACCGCTGCTGATTTCTCTCAACGATAAACGAACCTTAGAATGAACCTGCTTGTAACGATACAGATGGCCGAGCGATTGCTTCGATCCGTGTCTCCTCTTCGAGGTGACGACCTTCTCTTGCTCCAACGCGGCCGTCAAGCGATCCTGCAGTATCTTCGCTGACTCGTCGACGAAATACATCATTAACTGAGTATCGCTGTACTCGCTCGATTCCGTATTGTTCTCCTCCTTTTGTCTCTCCATTTGCATCTCCGTATCTGATTCGTTCATATCTGTATTCTTGCAAGATGTATCTTTGTGCGCAATGTCTCCTCGTGATGCTACATTTTCTTCTTTATTAGGCGATGTTCTATCCGCTCGTGATGCACACTTGTCCCTTCGATGTCCTAAATCTTTCCGCTTTCTCGAATGTGTTCCTAGAACAGGACTACTCATCACATCCAGTTCAAGTGATTCTACATCACTTTCGGCCGATCTTAAGACAGAATTTTTTTTGTCCGGATTTCGGTTCTCGTCGTTATCCATATCTATATCCATGTCGTCGAAAGATAATTTTCTAGCTTGAAGTTCGTTACTGAAACGCGCTTTTTTCGATTCAGGCATGTAGTCCCTGCTCAAGGGTGTGTTCTCATCTGAATTATCGTTGTTACTCTTATGCAATGATGTATATCTTAAATTAGGACTATTATTCTCCAGATGGTTGTCAGAGAAGAATGTTCGTGATTTTAATAGAGCGTTGCTTGAAACTGTTATCTCTTGATCGCTTTCTAGATGATGAAGGCCATCATATGAAATTTTTAAATCGCATCCTTTAATTTTTTTGTCAGAAGCAGTACAAGATTTAATATTTGAAGTATTTATATCACATTGTTTGTTATCAAAAACATCAATTTTATTAGAAATTATCTGTTCTTCAACAGTAGTATCAAATTGTTCTGCAAATAATATTTTTGCTTTGGCCAAAGATTTTTCTGAAATATTGATAGACTTACCACCAGCAGTGGAAAATAATGCTGAAGTCATATTATTTGATTCCATAGAATTTACATCTGTTAATGACTTTTCAGGATATTTTATTAACATGTCATTTTTGTTTTCTGCTTCATCCGCTAATAATTTCTTTGCTTTGGCCAAAGATTTTTCTGAAATATTGATAGACTTACCACCAGCAGTGGAAAATAATGTTGAAGTCATATTATTTGATTCCATAGAATTTATATCTGTGAATGATTTTTCAGGATATTTTATTGATACATCATTTTTCTTTTCTGCTTCATCTGCTAATAACTTTTTTGCTTCGGCCAATGATTTCTCTGAGATATTGATAGGCTTACCACCAGCAGTGGAAAATAATGTTGAAGTCATATTATTTGATTCCATAGAATTTATATCTGTGAATGATTTTTCAGGATACTTTATTGATACATCATTTTTCTTTTCTGCTTCATCTGCTAATAACTTTTTTGCTTTGGCCAATGATTTCTCTGAGATATTGATAGGCTTACCACCAGCAGTGGAAAATAATGTTGAAGTCATATTATTTGATTCCATAGAATTTATATCTGTGAATGATTTTTCAGGATATTTTATTGATATATCATTTTTCTTTTCTTCATCCGCTAATAATTTCTTTGCTTTGGCCAAAGATTTTTCTGAAATATTGATAGATTTACCACCAGCAGTGGAAAATAATGTTGAAGTCATATTATTTGATTCCATAGAATTTACATCTGTGAATGATTTTTCAGGATATTTTATTAACATGTCATTTTTGTTTTCTGCTTCATCCGCTAATAATTTCTTTGCTTTGGCCAAAGATTTTTCTGAAATATTGATAGACTTACCACCAGCAGTGGAAAATAATGTTGAAGTCATATTATTTGATTCCATAGAATTTACATCTGTGAATGATTTTTCAGGATATTTTATTGATACATCATTTTTCTTTTCTGCTTCATCTGCTAATAACTTTTTTGCTTTGGCCAATGATTTCTCTGAGATATTGATAGGCTTACCACCAGCAGTGGAAAATAATGTTGAAGTCATATTATTTGATTCCATAGAATTTACATCTGTGAATGATTTTTCAGGATATTTTATTGATACATCATTTTTCTTTTCTGCTTCATCCGCTAATAATTTCTTTGCTTTGGCCAAAGATTTTTCTGAAATATTGATAGGCTTACCATCAGCAGTGGAAAATAATGTTGAAGTCATATTATTTGATTCCATAGAATTTACATCTGTTAATGACTTTTCAGGATATTTTATTAACATGTCATTTTTGTTTTCTGCTTCATCCGCTAATAATTTCTTTGCTTTGACCAATGATTTTTCTGAAATATTGATAGGCTTACCACCAGCAGTGGAAAATAATGTTGAAGTCATGTCATTTGGTTGCATAGAATTCATATTTGTGAATGAATTTTCAGAATGTTTTATTGATATATCATTTTCTTTTTCTGATTCATCCACTAATAACTTTTTTGCTTTGGCCAATGATTTCTCTGAGATACTAATAGGCTTACCACCAGCAGTGGAAAATAATGTTGAAGTCATATTATTTGATTCCATAGAATTTACATCCATGAATGATTTTTCAGGATATTTTATTAATATATCGTTTTTCTTTTCTGCTTCATCCGCTAATAACTTTTTTGCTTTGGCTAATGATTTTTCTGAGATATTAATAGGCTTACCATCAGCCGTAGAAAATAATGTCAAAGTTGTATCATTTGATTTTATAGAACTTTTATTTGTAGATGGACTCTCAGAATATTTTATTAATTTATCATTATCCTTTTCATCTACTAATAATGTTTTTGCTTTAGATAATGCTTCCTTTGAGATGTTAATGGATGCACCGCTAGCAGTTGAGAACAAAGTAGGAACTGTATTGATTTCTTCAATAGAACTTTTATTTACAAATGGCTCTTCACAATTTGTAATACGCGTTTTGTCATGTTCTGTAATTTGTCGCTCTGATTTGGATAATATTTCTTTTGTAGTATTGATAGAAACAGTATCAACAAATGAATAGGATGATGATAAATGCTTATTTGTCTGTTCATTAGAATTTCTTTTGGCAAATGATTCATAATTCTGTGCCTGAGTTTCATCTATATCAAAGGCATCTGCGAACAGTCTCTTCGCTTTAAATACAGCTTGCTTTGAGACATTAATTGAAGCACCATGAGCAGTAAAGAAACCTATATTTTGATTCTCTTCATTATTCCTGTCTTTATCAGTATCCTTGATCCTCTGGTTACAATGCACAGTAGACTTGACTGTTGTTTCATTATTAAAAGTGTTCAAGCATACCTGATCTATATTACTGAACGAAACATTTCTAAAAAATTCTTGTGTTGATGTATCCAAATTGTCAGGTGTAATATTTGTAAGATTTTTTAATTCCTCATTATTACATATGTTTTCAATTTTATTGAAAACTTCTGACTCACAATCTTCAAGAATATTATCTACAGATGAAATAGGTTCCGCAACATTTGTAGCACTATTTTGTACTGCGGAATTAATATTTTTAGAAATAGATGTTTCTATTGGTACATCTACTGTACTATCTTCATTGTTGGTTATAACCAATGGGTCTGTCGATATAGAAGATCTAAATATACGACGTTTGGAGCGTCTTCGTGATGCTCTAGATTCTACAGCAATAATGGGAGAAGCAGACATAATTTTGTCTACGCTTTTAACAATTGAAATATCAGGTGTATGCTGTTCATATTTAGATGTTTCTTCTCTCTAAAATATTATTGATAAAATAAAAATTATGATTAAAGAAATAAAGTACAATGTAAAAATATAATATATTTTATTTAAAGAGATGTATTACTTTTTCTGTTGTACTTGTCATTGATTTTATATCTGGCTGAGCTTGTGGTGTCTCAAAATCACTACTCCACTGTTCATTTATCTTGCTTAAAAGAGGTAACAAACTCAACGGTGTACATGGAATTGCATCTGTCGTTTTGTTGTCAACACTATAAAGAATGACCGATTATACATTACTTATTTAAATTTATATCATTATTATTAGATAGCTAAGAGATCTCTGTTTTGTATGTATTGTGTGTGTAATCATAACAAAATTCTTAAATATCAAAATAAAAATGCCTTACATGATACTGTCACTAGGTGTTTCAAAGCGATTCAAGATTAGAGCATCACATTTGATCTCTTTTTGTTCGTCATCTAAAAATTTGCGTATGAGAAAAATACCGCAAATAACACACTATGTACTGTCCATACATACATACATATAAAATAAGACGTGTAATCATTACCTGAGAATAATTCGTCGGATTCGTCTTCAGAGTCGTCAATTATCGATGACTCCATGATTGCGTTATTATTGTCAGTTTCTCTAAATTTTGTGTTATTCATTTTTACTCGCACTTTATTCACAACATCCACTGGTCATGTGTCGCATAAAGAGATTGTAATTTTTGCGCGGCATTATCCCAATGACGTCATTTTACATACACGTAAAAACGTATACGGTAGAACGAGAAATAAATATTTCTTTAATATTGTTAACGTTTTTGAATCGGCAATAACACAGGTGCATAAAATGCACCTACTCGTGTCAATAATTCTCTTTGTTTTGAATTTCCCTCATGCAACAAATATTTGCACAAAGAAAACACGCAATCAGGCGACTACAGCGTTGCTCACGTTGACAAGTAGAAATAATATGCATCATGGACGACGATTGGACAATGAGTGCCATCTGACGGCAAATTAATCGTTCGTTGGATCAATGAGACTGCGTTGTTTACGTTCTTTCATATTCATAATCGAAGATGAATGAAAATTATCTGGCAGATGAAATAAAGGAGAATGATATGCGAGGTGAAAATATTCGGCGTCAGTTTTACATTGGAGAAGAATTTAATTGACTGCATTAATTAACTGTATTATACGTCAGGTATTCATTGTCAACCCAAGTTTGTTTTTAATTCAAAAGCGCTTGTCAAAAATCAAGCGACTATCGTCTTTAGTCGATCGTGAGAAAATGTTGGAAATTAACAAAAACACAAGATTTCAGTGACCATACTTTTGCATAAAATAAAATATGTTATACATAATATTTGTTAATAACTTGAAGCATCACTTAAATAGCTCAATGTATTTGATATAAGATAGTAAAATAAAAAATTTGAGACTGTTGTCTGCTAAAACAGTAGATATGCAGCATTTAATCACTGACGAGATATTGTTACCTCGTCAGTGATTTAATGTAACAGTAGTGTTTTATTAGAAATTTTTTTATTATCTGTACACATTATCTTTCATAAAACATAAATGGATAATCAACTTCATTAAGTAAAGACCTGTTATAAATATTGTAGATTTGTGATATGGTTACAAACGTACATTGTGAACAGATATTAATATATGTACAATATGTTTACAGATATAAATGGAGCAACTACAGGCAGCGCTGACAGCTATCAAAGTACTTCGCTCTAATGTTGGACAAGTGTTTGATTCTCTTGGAAATGGTTTGCGAGCGGAGCATGGAGATGAAAATAAAGAATCCAAATATTTATTGGAGTTACAAGAACTATTAACTACAGTAAATCTTAACTTAAGGTAATTAAACAAGATAAAATAATTTATTTTCAGAAAATAGAATATAATGAGACATAATTTTAAATAAAATAATATAATAATTCCATTTTTGGATTATACTATTATGAAACAATTTACTTATGCAATTAATGTTTGTTTGAAACAGGGATGTAGAACAGATAATAAGTAGTTTAAATCCACCACCGGGTCCATTTAATTTAGCTAGCACAACATATCTTAGTCAGGAAACTACACAGGAAAGACAAGCGCTTTATAGTACACTTGTCAATTGTTATAAGTGGACAGATAAAGTTCACGAATATAGTAATGTTGCTTCTACATTGCTCAATCAGAATTCGTTAAAAAGATCTTACACGGTTGCAACTAGAACGAAAAAGACAAGACCGTTCTACACCAGTAGTCATAATGTATCTCAAGCGTAAGTTACTCTTAATTCTAATGATGCATGTATTAATCGATGAAGTGATGCTTTAATTTTGGAATGTGGATTAATTTTAAATGCTTTTAAACAGGCAAGTTGATTCCATGCTATCAACGATTGAACGGCAGTTCAGTGACATGACAGTCTCAGTGTCCCGTCCATTCGCTTCGAATGCAGTATTACACGTTACCCTGGGACATGTCCTGAAAGCATTGATAGCGTTTAAAGGATTGATGATAGAACGAGTCGTAATCAAGGGTCACTTCGAAACGATGGATCTGTGGACGGAATCTAGGCATAAAGTCTTCCGCAAAGTGACGGAGAACGCACATGCGGCGATGTTGCACTTCCATTCGCTCGCATTACCTGAATTAGCAGTGCGGTCATTTATGGTAATGATTTATGCTTTTTTATTATGAATATTATATTATTGAACTAATTGATTGCGATTTTAATCGCCTGTTATGATATTGGGCTAATCGTTAATCGTAAAGATTGTAGTGCTTAAGTCATGCAGTCGTTATCATATTTTATCTCATTTCCAGACATGGTTACATGGTCTAAACACTTTATTTAGCGAACCTTGCAAACGCTGCGGCTTGTATTTGCACAGCGCGCTGCCTCCAACTTGGAGAGACTTTCGAACTTTAGAACCTTATCATCAGGAATGCAAGCCATAAGATGTCAGCTCGGTGTCTTGTATTTCAGTCGAATAAATATGATCTTTGCAAGAGTACTTTATTAATAATATACAATAATGAAATATAATGAATAAAATTTTATGCCTATAAAACATTCATCGACCGGATTATTACATTTGCCAATTTGATAAAAATTTTTAATGAATGATAATAAAATACTTCTAACTATTTCAATACATGTACGTGCATGTTTCGCTAATTGATCTTGCGATGTTAGGATAGCGACGAGGTGAAATAAAACATTTTCACAGAGAATGTAAGGGCTTTTATAAAAAGAATTCAATTACATAACACTTAACAAATGCAAATCGCACAGAACATATCGCGTTCTGTGAGAGAAAAATTGCAAAGCATTAGACAACACATTAATCCGAAACAACATACGTCATATATTTTACGCGGGCACTGTGTGTGTCGATCGCGCTCATAATGGAGAAAGCTGATTAAATATACGATTAAATCTGTCACCAGATGTCTATTGATAGCGACGATACTTGGAGAGAGATTCTCGATTTCGAACTTATAGATAAAAATAAACGCCCTTTTTTCGTGTTGTATAAGCGATGGCAAAGGGAGAAAAAGTATATCAATCGAACTCTTGATTATATATCATTTCAGCAACGAAAACTTATGTTTAAGTTAGTGCTAATCTTTAATATCGTAATGTACAAATGAACGTTTTGCTTGAAATAATTCTGCGATCAGTATATGTGTGTATGTATGTGCGTGCGTATGTATCTGTGTAAGTGTGTGTATGTGTGTACTTTTTTTCTTTCTCGTTACCTATGTTCTACGTATGTATACCACTCTTAGTATCGTTACATGCTATTTAGTTTTACATAATGCTAATTAGTAGTATCATATGTAAATATAATTACGTTATTATATATATATAATATACTTTTCACATAACTGTACACATTCACATCTTGGAATATTGGCGCTCTCCTAAGGGGCGCAAGTCGTTTGAGTGGCAGTGAACTTATTTTACAAATCGTTATTGTAATCACTTATGCTGGACTGTTCGAAAATTTCTCTGCTTGCTTTTTCTTTTCTTTTTTTTTCTCCCTTTAAGGCTCTATGAACGTTGTAATACTCAATGAGTTTAATATTGTGTCATTGACTCGAAACCATTGATGCGATCATTGCTTATCTTTTTTTTATCAAAGTCGTGGTGAGTGCGAAATACATTATTAGGTCTTCGCGTTTAAAGTAGCCATTTTTTAATAATATATATATATGTATATATGTATATATATATATGTGTATACGCGCGCGCGTTATTACAATTTTTTTAAAAACGAAGTATTCTGTTATAATATTATATATACGTGAATCTCTCAATTACAGATAAGTGTAATCCTTTTCGCGCGTAAGGACTAAGAAAGGCCTTCCCCGTGTGACGTTAATAATTTTTCTCTCTCTCGAGACGCGTAAATTCGCACGCGGAACGGAAAAACGCCTTTCGTTTAACTCGCTTACGGATCTCGCGTAATTTTACTCTTTTTTATTAACGTTACGGCATACTGCATTTTCTCGAGGATATATATATATATATATAGAAATTGCCGTGTGTGTGACGGTGATAACGTTTCTTTTTTTCTTTTTTTAGTGCCAATGATCTATCTTTTGTGAACACATATCGTAGCATGCCTTTTCTCGGTGAGGTGGTAATCGAAAGAAGGTTTCTTTAACAGGTGTGTGCATGTGTATGTGTGTTGCCGCAGCGCGATGTGTTGGAGCCGGATATAGTTTTACAGTTACAATAATAACCGACGCGCGCACGCGCATTTGCAATTGCAATCTCTTTTTACTATGGCGACGTAGTAATTCGCACATACGTCGGCTTCGAGGATCCTGCGAGAGTTCCCGGAATCGACGCGCCTAATTTGAACCAAAATATAATCGCACGTACATCATATTTCTCTCGGTAATTACCGCGTTTCTTATAAGCTTGTAATGATCATTTCGAAATGGTGATATAATGCCGATATTACTCGATCCGCGATATAATTATTATACAGTCATTGCACAGGTGTATGAGAAAGAGAGAGAGAGAGAGAGAGAGAGAGAGAGAGAGAGAGAGAGAGAGAGAGAGAGAGAGAGAGAGAGAGAGAGAGAGAGAGTGTATTCGCCTGTCTTGGTGAAGTTTCCAATTATATTAATTAGCTTGTTAAAACGCCGTGCTACTATCATCTAGTAGCTATATATAGTTTCTATATGTATATACGCCTAGCCTAGAGTTATCGATAATTAATATAGTATTCTGAATTCTCTGATAATACTCATATAATGCAAGGAGCTCTACTTTAGTATATTTTTTTCTTCTTCAGTTCAATATAGCTTTATTGCCTTTCTCACTGATTCTGTATGTTTTGGACAGCTTATAATTAAAAACTTCTTTTAGTCGCTCTCACATTCGAATGATATCGTACGACGCGTTTTTTTTTGTTGCGCGTGATTCCACTTTGATCTTCTCTTTTCTTCACATTCATTTATCCTCTCTAGTCTAAATACTATATTGCGTTTACGTCGCGATCTTCGAAACAGCGTATCTATTCAAGTCACTTTGTTGCCCCGCAAGTAGAGTTGCTTTAGAGAAAGAATCGTCAGGAATTTATTCGGAATAATCTGAATAAATTCTGTAAAATTGAAATTCTAATCTCTCTTTAAAAATTTTAAGCTTTCTTTGACTTCTTACCGTATCCTTTTTTTTTTATTTTTAACGTATCAATTTTTATTCTTTATACAAGCGCGTTTGGATAAATAATAAAGATAAGAAATCGATCTCGGCTTACTTTTTTTAGAAAAGTTTAAATAATGATATCATAATTTCTCTCAGAGACACTTTATATATGTATGAAAACTGCAAACGAATGATCCAAGTTTTCGAAAAATGCTTGAAATCCCATGCACATACTTTTCAATTATTGAAAAGTTCGCATAACGAATAAAAAGATATTATTAGGCTTACATTGCATGACACATCATTATTTAATTATTTTATTCTCCCCCATTCTGTAAAATAAATTAAACAATACGAAATATTAAGAAATTCTCTCTGTAATGTATTTCAATTCTGATTAAGGAAAAAAATTAATTAAATTCCATTGAGAGCGAGAGAGAGAGAAAGAGATGAATATTAATAGATAGATAAAGGAATGAAAAGACTTTTTTAATTAATTTCTAATATGAAAAATGATAGAGACTCGTTACTGTACAAGATAAGGTATTTATCGATTTCTTTCTTTTTTCACAGATTAATCCGGTCGGAAACGCGCGATGAATCTTCACTGATATCGAGACTTATTTATGAATGTTCGGATGGTACCGGAAGATGCGAACCGCGACGGTCATTAAATCGGTAAGTCATTTTTTTGCATAATACTCACGGATCGAACGATTCACGATACAATTACGTATTTCAGATGTTCGCGTTCAGCTCTTGCATGCAGGTAAGCGTGAATGCAACGTAAAAACGACGAACGATAGAAGCCGATTTCATCGGTTCGTATCTAGAATCGCGGAAGAGAGGAAGGGCTTCTCTCGAAAGAGCCACGGGAATGTTGGACGATCGACGTGGATTTTTTCCGATCGACTTATTTGGAATCTACAACGGCTCTGAGTCAGTGTCGGTGGAGAGATGTACTTGTCCTCGTTTGTGTCACTCATCGGTAAGGCTACTTTTTTTAGCGGGAAACGGAGTATGCTAGTTGTCTCTCCAGTTATATTGGATTATTATACACTTGTTGTGGCTCTCTCAGCGACGTCTCTTAAGTACAGAGTAGAAGTATACAAGTATATACACGTATATGTACAGCACGTGAGGGGATGAGAGTGGAAGGAGAGATCGACGTCTCCCTCGGAGTCCCCCGAAATATCGAATCGCGTGCACTTCCGTTAAAAAGATCGATAGCAGCGAGGGAGGGACGAAAGATTAATGACGGAGTAAGAAAAGGCATGCCTCTGCGCAGACAGGCTGCTGTTATTGATTTCGTGATTCGGACGAGGTGTCGATTCCTGTCGTGTCAAAGAGAAAATAAAATTGCATCGATGAAATGTCGAGGATTCATCAATTCAGATTCGCGAGTTACAAAATTATCATTTTACGCTTTTAGAAAAATTCATAACTTATTTATACATTTTATTCGCATTTTATTTTCCGCGAAATCGATTTTTTGGTATTGTTATCGATTTAAGATGATTTCGAGATACATTGCAGAGATATTTGTGCTGCAAATAATCGAGGAATCGACACATCCACTCGCCCGAAACGGCTGAAAGTGTATCATAAGTATACCCTGCGTCTCTTGTAAGATAAAGTATGGTTGATTAATAGTTTTTCGTGAATATATACTGCGGTCGTCGAGAGGCACCGTATGAGTTCGACGTGATCGCGAACGTTGTCGAGGTCGCGGCTAAATCGAAAGATAAGCTAATAATTCCACGTGGTTTCTTTTGACATTAATTTAATGTAGTTTGGTCGATGCCCAATTTGAGATCTTCGATATACGAGAAATCGCTATACTTGTTCGTTAAACGCACTGTTACGCACCGCGACTTATTATATAAAGGCAAGGTAAAATATCCCTTTTTTTCCCTTTTCTCCTTTGATTTCGTGAATTTCGAAAAAATCGCTAGCCTTCCCTCGGAACGGAAAAAAACAGGCGGATTTAAAAGGAATCGGCAGAGGAATTTTTATATATCTCAATTCCTTTTAACTCCCCAATTTTTTCATCGGAGGTTCGATGTACCCCCTTTACTACCGACGAAATTTTCATCGTTTTTAAACGCCTTTCAAATCGTTCATCGTCTCTTCATTCATTCGGAAAATTAATCAGTCCTTTCCGCGAAGCGAACGAATATTCGGTACCGTTTCTCCCCGGCATATATTATATTATAGCCATGTACACTCGCTCTCGATAATTCCGGGATCAAACGCCGGAAACGACGAAAAGAAAATATCACAGTGTCTCGAGGGCAGCTCGCGTAATCTTTTGAATTTGTTGCGGGTTTTTTTATGGCAGTCGCGCTCGCACATCTCTATCATCCCAATCCCATCCTATTATCGTCGTCGCGGAAGAGTAACAGCGCGCGGCTTAATAAATACACGTCGCGATGAATCGTACAGAGAGGACAGAGTGTAATACAAAAAACGACACATAGTCCCGACACATGAGTCCTAGAAAATTAATGATATAAAAAGTGAAGAGGTATTATATAGATATACACGTTCGTCGTGCTTCGTTCTCTCTCTCGAGGACGAAGGGGTGTTGTGTTACGCAAAATGGGGAAAGGGGATGCGACCCTTCGTTCTTCAACAAGCTTGTTTCCCCCTTCCCCTGCCTTCTCATATGCGTGTGTGTGTGGGTGTGTGTGTCTGCCGATTCACATTTCGATATCCTTCGATGTTCGCACAAAGTTCCGAGTACTCGTATATCAAATCAAGTGCATGATTACTTGCGGCCATTCTTCTACACCATTTTTCTATTTTTCCCGTACTCGTCTAGGCACAAATCACTTTCGCAACATTTCGATTAATCTACCATGCTCATCCTAATCGACTTTTTTCCGACTCGAATGCCCGAGGGAAGAGAAGACTTCCACTCCTGCGAGAAGGAGGCATTTTTCGACTTTAACCCACCAGGCGATTTCAAAGTTATACTTCTTAGCGTATTCGTTTTGTATATTCGAAACATTTTCTCACGACATCCCCCGAATTAATTTATCGTCGCTAAGCACCATCGAGATGTAGGCTCGATCGAGGTAATTTCAGACACCGGAATTTTTCCCAACGACGAGTCTAATAATCCTTACGAAGTCGCAAATCGCAATTTATATACTTATTACATAAATATCACGAAACGATTAAGAAGCGATGCGACGTTCGGTTGAACGTCATTGAAAGAAATAATCGCGGTGCCTCATTCATCCTCACAAATACTCTTCTTCTTAAAAAAAATTGCCCCGATCGATCCCCCACGCTCTTCATTGAACTAATTCGCAACTCGCGAAGAGATAGAGACAGACAGACATACACAAAGAGAGAGAGAGAGATCGCGATTGATCGAAAAAACGAGGAACACTCGTCACTCAATGTATTCGCCCAATTATGGGGTTTCTCGCAATACTCCGCTTCGCGTTTTCTTTTTTGTTTCCCTTTTTCTTTCTCCAGTTTCCAGTTTTTCTCCTCTCACTGCTCGCTGCATATTATCGCGCCGCTCGTCGTCCTCGTCGCCGTCGTCATCCCCGTCGTCTCGAAGCCCTCGGTCGCCGTCCAGCCGAGGCTGGTCGCGCGCCGCAGACTGTTCCGGAGGAAGGCCGCGCAGGCCTTGCTGCTCTCGGTGATGATCTCGTACAGCTGGTTCTCTAGGCTAAGGCTGCTGGTGGTGAGCAGCAGCGGCAGCGGTATCGGCGCGTTCATGATCACTAGGTTACCGATATTAAGAGGAGCTGTTTCCCATTGTCAGACACCGCTGTTCGGAAAGCGTGGCGGGGGAAGCGGGGGCGGTGGTCTCTCCGGCTGAGCGGGAGCGACGGAAGAGCGCTCGGATCCAGCTGCAAACACAACTGTGGGGTGCACGTTAATCTCACGTGTGTCTCTCACGCGACTCCCCCTCGACTCCACGTGTGTCAATTACTCGTCAACTACTTTCCGGACACATTGCTAAAATATATTTATGTATATGTGTGTGTCTCTCGAGTGTAAGAACAACAAGCAAGCTTCTACCACTTTCTGGATCTTGTTGAGTTTCGGTCTTTCCTCGACGGAATGGTAAATATTTAAATGTATAACGCTTCTGTCTTCGTGTCCGTGTCTGTGTGTATATGTAAGTATGTTTGTATGTGTTTAGCAATTATCCTTAAAATTCAAGACGGTATCGTGCGACAAGCTCCTTCTTTATAGCCACTGCTACTCTCAACAGTCTCAGAGCTAATCCCATGCAATTTAAGCGCATTGATATAAACTGGCCAAAAAGAAGGTTAATCGCGTTGGGAATTATTCTGTCTGATGTTCAAAGTTTCCCCGGATATATCGGTATTTGGAACGAGAGAAATAATCTCTGCTACGAAATAGATATTCGTTCACGTACGAATATTTTTCAACGAATATTTTTCCAAAAGCAACAAACAAGAATAGTATTATCGCTGATATGTGATGTTTTGGAAAAAAATATTTCTTTGATTTAAACAAACATGATATACTCGTGTTTGTATATAATATTCGTGTCTCCTTCTTGCCACACGCGAGGTATCTTAATTACAATTAATAATTAAATTAATTAATTAATAATTAAACTAATATAACGAGATCCGACTGATTAAGTGACTTAAATTTTTTCAAAGCCAAACGTCTGAAGCTGATAAATGTCTCACGAGAGATGAAATTGCTCTTCGATCCTACGCACTAGAAATTACATTCATGCGCGCACTAGAAATTACATTCATGCCCGTTACACCATTCATGCTGCGAGAGCATATGTATTATTGTACAGCATCGTATTAAAATTAACAGCAACAACGCCAAGTATAATATACGTACGTATATGTACATTGGCCTATAAGAATTCATTACATAACGAAATAAATCCTCGCCCCTGATTGCCACATCAATTTCACAGAGATGTTATGTCAGTATATAGTATATGTATATATGTGTCAATGAGAGAAAGATTGGCCTGCCTTTTCCATTTAAACTACTACAAAGGCCAGTGTCGATAGCGCATAAGATATATAAATATATATACGATATAATATTCGTATAAATGAAGCAGTAGGTATATATGAGTATATTTATCTATACCCAACTCTTTGTCGTTTTGCGTGAGATTACGTAGCATCGATTAATTCCAAAATGTATATAAATACAATACAGGATGGGAAACTGTCATGTTTGCACAGAGATGATGATAAATATAGTAGTACGTATGTAATACATTTATAGAGCTTATTATTCTGTGTATGTGTATGTGTGTACGTGTATGTGATATAGACATCGTTTACAGTTTATTACAAATTATTGCGAAGATATTGCCGAGAATCGTTGCTCTGCGAAGGCAATATATTTTTCGATTTGATTAACGTGATAACTAGCTTGCTTCTGCATATTTTCTACAGATGATGAGTGACAGAAAAATAAGCTCTACTGGAACTCGGAAAGTCCAGCGAGTTTTCGCGAGAATGACCTAACTTAAGCGGTGTGTCAAATAAAAAAAAGCTAAAGTAGAAAATCACTAGATCGATGTTTAACGTAAATTATTATGTAGAATGAGAACAGAATGTGAATAAGCAAGGAAAACGTTTGTCGGAGAACAACAGATTTAGTCTGAAATTCAATTTTCCTCGCAGAGACAGACGTAAGTTAAAAAAAAAAGAGTAATAATTAATTGTTTGTGCAATTATTCTAATGGATTGTTATAAATAGATTAAAGTCTCTTTGATTTCTCGATATTTAAAGCACACTTTGCAACATTTTATGATCTGTCTTTCGTCGTCTCTTTGTTTTTTTATTATTTTCTTAATTTGCTTGTTAATCGCGAAAAGAGATAAATAATGTTTTCTCGCTACAATCACTCGTGTGTGTCTTGTCGAAGCGGCACAATGTATACTTTGACTGTCGTATAACCAGCACTTTGATGCCTCTGCACTTTCGAATTATACTGAAAGCAGAAAAGTAACGTTCGCAAATAAATTCAAAACAGATGTTCCACAATGAGACTACAAATCAGGAAAAACTTACAAACATACATATGGCATGCAGAATGATGGATATGCGCGTAAAGCAACGCATGGCAAACAATTCTTGCACACTCGATGATTATTGATAATTTAAAAATTGTACACACAGAAAAATATAGCTGAAATTTAATGCATGATAGATGAGATGATCAGTTATGAAACAAAATTATTAACAAATATTTTGAACATAATATGCAATAAATAAATGATAAAGATGCAAAAATCTGATACAATGAAAAAAATGACTTCAAAAATTCTAATTCCGAATTTATATTTATTTAGTAGAGTCCGCCAATGCATCATGTCAATTTTTAATTAAGTTATTCGTATAAATTACCAAAATATCGTAAACGATTCATTTGTAGATAGGGATACAAAAAAAAACACCTGATTGTCCACATATTTAATTCTCATAAAATATAAACTGAGAGAGAATAAAATTCGATAAATTCGCAGCCGTGTTCAAAGAATTGTTTGTCTTGCGGACGAAGATGACAGGGTTTTACAGATTATCGTGTTAACGATTGGTTGGTCAGGGTTTTTTTTAAAGCCTTACATGAATCAGGATGTGGCTTCTCCTCTGCCACCATCAGGGCTGCGCTCTCTGCTGGTGGTATGTGTCCCTCTAATGCATTCACACAGTTTAGCATGCTCCTGTAAAACATCACGCGACTTGTCCAAGTTTCCATTTTTTTAAATCACATTTCTATTGATTCTTTTTTTTTTCTTTCTCTTTTCTCATCGCACGAATTTTCTTCCGGAGCATTGACTCGACATGCATTCATATGCATGCCGTATATAAAAATATATTACGAGAGTTTACAATTTAATGATATTATTCGCTATTGACGTGTTTCTAATTTAATCGCTTTTACTCGAATGTACAATAAATCGAGAATCTGTTGGAGCCAGCTATACCGTTATTACGATTTTACTATGACGGATGTTACCATATACTACGATATGATTAGCTGAACTTATTATAACTTGATGATATATGATATTTCGAACAATGAATGATGAATGAATGTAGGAAAAACACAGCTACAGATGCAAAGAAAACTCAAGATGCGAAATTTATAGGGAAAATGTAGGTTCATTTTTATGCTGATTACGCGATTTCTTACGGTTTCGACGAGATGATAAATGATATCCTAGACGATATTCAGCTGGTTATCCGAACCTAAATACTAAATACTGTTCGACGTTTTAGAGAGAGTTACAACAAATGTACATAGAATACATTTGACTTTCTTTCTTTACCTTCATCTACCTTTATCTGTGATGTATCGATCATTTCTCAGATTCAAAGATCCGTGGATCCCCAAACGACTGAACGGATTCACGGATCTTGAAATGACGAGTAACACTAAGAATCCGTGCACGAAATTCACGGATGCACAGCTGCACTCGTGTGTTTTTTATACACTTGACAAAATATAAATACAAAATAGTATATGTATATAATGATTCATTTCACAGTTTCTAATCATGTACTAGTACAGCGTTTCACTGGCCTGTGTAGTAAAATTTATATGAATATGTACTTATACTAAGAGAGAATTATAAAAAAAGAGAAAGAAAGAATCAAACATTAGTCGACCTGTGGCAAATTATACATCTAGACAGAATTCATCGAGAGACAAATCTCCTACCAAAAAGATGAGGGAAATTATTTACAAATAAATAAATTTACAGTAATTTTGACAAACAACAAATTATGATACACACACACACATATATATGTATATCGTATATAAATATCTCACAGAGCAGAGGATGACACGATTTCTCGTTGAAGTTTCGTATAGATCTTGACGTGATCGTCGACCTCGAACGAGAAATCAGAGTCGATCCTGGCTGATGAATACATATTACATTAACGCGAATGGAAAAGAAAGAAACTCAATCCGGATAATTAAATAAACAGACAGATTTATTTCACAACGTAGAGAACGTGATGGTCTATAATATGGTTCGGTGATGCCGAAATATTCGTAAAATACGTATATGTATAATACTAGCGAGAGCTAGCGTAGTCTCGTAGATCAGATCTCGTAGCTTATAATGTGAAATTACACAGTGCGTATCGATTAACACAGTTTCTCACGCTATATAATGAACGCCCCTACAGCTTTCTCGTCATCCAATATATATATATGTATATATATATATATATATATATATATATATATATATATATACATATATGTATATAACAATATGTAGATCAATAATAGTTTCTGGCAAACCGCGCCAGATTGTCCACGATATCTTTCTCCGAATGAATCGATTGCAGATTATAGATACGGTCTCATTGTTTAGATCTATAGTTTATAGTTTATAGTTCGGTTAGGTAGCGTGGCTATGGTTGACAGTGGTGGCGTCAGATAGGACGGTCTCCTTGCTAGAGTTAGTGGCGAGCTCCTCTTCCCTGCAAGACAACAACGTTACATGTCCAAACGATGCCTCGAATCGTTTTCTTTTTTTTTTCAACTTTCGAAGAGGTCCTAATTTTTTTATCTTTGCGCGGACACTTGCACACGTATGTATCTCGTAAATCTCCTCTAGAACATATAATGCATCCTAAACGAGTAAAAAGGAAAACATTGTCTCTCTTTCTCTCTAGCATATTTGACGCGACTCGTATCTCGAAACTACGTCAGCCGAGTATCACAACTATGTATACTAATCGATGTCTCTACAATGTACTGTACTTTCTTGTAAAACGATAATCGGCGATCGTAAACTTTTAGCAATGATGAGACGACATATAAGATAAACGATGTGTGATCTATATCTAACATAAGACAGCCTTTAATCGATAGCATAATATTATAGATAAACTACTTGTTCTAAATTTTGATTTATTTTAAATATTCCAATTAAAAAAAAAAAGAAATCAGTATAATCGTATAATTATTTTTCACTGATCACAAAACACTGCTGTGTTACTGCTTCAAAATTTTTTCTTTGTCGCTGGGTAAAAAACAAAACCGGTTTTATCGATATTGAATTACGATAACTGTGGCTATAACTATATTACCTTTCCTCGTCTATATATTGTAGATATAAAAATGTAAAGTAAAAGGAAACATTTTCGAGTTACTAAAATGTAAAACCAGCAGTTAAACCAGATATTGTCGACATAACTCGACATCAATATTAGCTTTAAATTGTTACAAGCTGTAGAATAGATTGTTAGTTTGTTATTCATTAAACGAACAAATTTGCAGGCAAATTAGTAAATTTTCATAAAACACTTGGTATTTACGTCTTGGATATTTCATCCCATCACCGTATATATCTTTGCGAGAGAGAGAGAAGTGCTTTCGAGAAAGCATAATTTCCCACGATAAATACAAACGAGTTAAAACGCGAGAAAGCTCAGATGCAGATACCTTTGGCCCTTATTAATTACCATCCAATTACAAACGCGTTGATATTACTCCTGGCGCTTCTTAATTAGCTTGTTTCGAGAAATAAATGGCTTTAAGAAACTTTTCGCTAAATCGTAAACAATGTAATCAGCTACCGGATTTATCCCTTTTGACAGGTAGAAGAGAGTTCTTCGAATGTTTCGGCAAAACCTTGGATCGAAAGTAATCGCAAAAGAAGGAGGAACGAAGAAGGAAAAGGGGAAAATACCAGAAAGAATCCCATTTCGATTGAGAAACGAAGAAAACTCTCGGAGGAAAAAATTAATGAAACACAGAATAATTGTATCATACGATTTTTACACGACGACGAGCGACGATGCAAAGCGATCAAAGGATGTCCGCTGCATCCGATTCGATCGCAGACCTTCATCGTCGAATATATCCCTTGACGCAATTCGGTAAACGCCAAACAGTAACGTAAAGCACTAAACATGCAAGTCACACAATACAGCGCCATAAACTCGTGCCAACTATCGACATAAAAACTTGTTTCAAGACTCTGCCTGTCGCCGAAACACTTACTGGGCATTGTATGTATACTAAAAAGGAGCATGCTGTAAAATACGAGGCTCCAGGAGAAAAAGTCAAGTGATCGGGGCTGTTATGTACGTGATTTTAGCCACGGTACGTCTGTACGTATGTGTGTATATGTGTGTATGTGTTCGCGGAAAAATGTTTTCTCGGTGTTTTCGAATTCGAGCAAAGTGCCGTGATTGTAAACACGACGATTTATTCGAGTTATATGTAAGAAGAGTGATAAACGGCAGTGATAGACCACGAACTTTGTCGGATTTATATACATATATTATGCCGATTACATAATAGCCCTGACGAACTTTTAGAAACTGTGAAATGTATCTCCACAAAAGAAAAAAAAACGAACAATTTTATATGGTAATAACTTATATCCATGCAGCTATGTATGTATAACTGTCTCTCTCTCTCTCTTTGTCTGTCTTTCTCTTAATCAGTCTGACTGATTACGCAATGAGATGGAGACTCGCATGAGCTGGATAAGTACATAAGTAAAGATGTTTCGACATGCCAGGCCTTTAGACCAAAGTTATGATAAAACGCTTTGGGAGAACAAATCGAGATTATTTTTCAAGCACTTTATCAATCTCTCTCTCAATTGTATCTGACAAGAAATGTTAATAGGAAGAATAAGAACAATAGAGTTTGTATAAGACGGAGGAGTAGATGGAAAAATATTTACTTCAACTTCTCTATATTTTATTATCTCTCTTACGAAAATATTTTCTAAGAATTATGAGAGAGTTTAAAATCAACCTTTTGCGGGAAGAAAAGTATTTTGATTGCTCGTTGAATAGTTATGGAAATGTTCTCTTTTCGGTGCATAAAAAATAATCCCTTTTTTTTAATATGTAATTAGTGGTGTCTTTGATCATTTATCTTCATGCAGTTAAATATAAGTATAATTAGTATGTTGGTATAATATATATATACTGTAACAAACAGCCACCATAGTAACGGGAAACGTGTGTAGCAGGACTCACCCATAAAGTCTGCTGTCCCGCAAGCTGCTCCTGCTCCGAATAACACAGAAAGCACAATTACGATATATCGAACACAATCGTCGTCATCGTAGTAACATAACACGGAAATTAACGAAAAATCGGTTACCCAGAGAACCATGTATGAAATAATCGATTTTTATTATTGAAACGATACATGTACAGTACGTTAAACAAACAAAATATATATATCCACATTTGGCCTTGAAATCTAACGATAAAACTAGAAAATCATCAACTTGAACTCGCGACTCGCGAATAAATAACGTGTCTCTTATACAAATTACATTAATTGTAATTAAAAAATCGCAATTTCGTTCATAAGTCAAATAATAGTGTTTACATGATTGCTCTCTTATGTAACATAGAGCAGGTAAATTCTCTTACATGACCCTCTCTCGGAAATCTAACAAAGTATCATCTAAACTCTCAGACCGATGTTGGGAGGATCAAGAGCGATTTGTACTTCGTTCTCGCAATATTTTATTAAACGAGACGCTAAAATTACGTTGTTTCATATTTTACACTTCCAGAAACTAATAACCTACGGGATACTGTTTTCTTTTTTTTTTAACGCTTTTCTCATGTAATAATAATCTCGTTACATGATTTCACAATGTATCGTGCACGTTTGTTTGCCTCTTCTACTTGCTATCGATTAGCGCAATTTTGCGTCTTATATTTGTAAATTGTATGTAAAAATGTATTCCCCTTGCAACAGCTTAAACGAAACTAGTTCGAGATATATACAGAGGGTTAAAAAATTAGATCGATAAGTTTTAAAGAAATTAGAAGACTTCAAAATAAACATTTTATGTTAATACTATTTTTTCTACGACGTTTTCATACTACACAATATGAAAAAAATAGGAGTTTGTGACTTAAACAATAAACAAATATATAAGTGAAAAAATTAAATTATATTTTAATCTTAAACAAACTACGGTACAAATACATAAAAGTAATTTACTCTTTTAACAATAAATGCTTAAAAATTGAAGAATTTTTGAGCATTCCATTAATTTTAATACAAAGATGACAAACTGAAGTCACAAACTCATATCTCATATATATAGTATTAAAACTAAACGTATAGAAAATTAATATTAACAAAACATGTTTATTTTGCAGTCTTCTTTCTTCCTTCAAAGTTTGTCGGTCTAATTTTGTAACATCTAATATATATGCAAATGAAGGGAAATAAAGCGCGTGACGAAATTTTAAGGGTGAAATTTACAATTCTACTTTAGCTCGCGTACTTATATAAGTATGTACAAATCCGTAATAAGTAGAGAAATCAATTTTTTGTTTTCCTAAAAAACGAAAGAAAACGAAACTTTATCACAGTTCAACTTCTGTTATTGCTTCGAACGAGAACAGCAATGCATGCAAAAATGCGTAGCGTAATAATATACTAATCCCAACATAGATATATAATACAATATATATTTATAGAGAAAAATACACAAAACACGATTGTCTCGATAAATTATAAAACTCTTTTTTCATTTTTTGCAGATTTTTCAGAAAATTTCTATTTATAAATAACGAACATCTTCGTTATCGAACGTAGAACGGACGGATGAATGCTCGGACGGATATATGATAACAGTATACATTATACATCAAAAAGAGTACGTATGTATTATTTTAAGCTTATTTTATCTAAGCCCTCTAATTTCTCCTTCTCCTTGTGCAATTAACGGTTAAGAACTTGTGCGGTTATTAGTTATCGAAAAGATAAATTTTTCGATTCTCTTAATTAACTTCGAAACGTATCGAGTCAAAAGGAAAAAAAATGAAAACGGGATACATATTGAAGGGACTATCGATTTACGGATTTAAGCTATACATACGTATAGTAGTAGCTATATATACGTATAGTATATACATGTATATATTATTGTACGTAGTACCAGAGAATTCCCTTTGAAAAGAAACTAAAGAGAGAGGCGGATGCAGAGTATTCAATTATGTATATAACATTTTGCTATTGTGGTACGTACTGGGGATGGTAGTAAGTTGCTTATGTGCTGCATACCTGTCGTTACCATGCCTGAATAAAGCTAGAATCTCTTCGAATGTTTTATTCTTGGTCTCAGGAACCTTCTTGTACGTGAAGATCCAGAAGATGGCTAGAAATGCACTGAACGGTAGGAACGTGTAGTTTTCAAGGCTAGTCTGTAACATACAAATACGTGCGTAGCAAGTTTGTACAAAATTGTGAAACAAACCTACATACTCATATCATGTTTAATTTATCACATTATATCGTGTTATTAAATAACACGCTAGTGTTAAATAATTATACATGATATGATATAATTTTCGGCTATTATACATTCAACGATCTGTAATTTGTTCTCCCGAAATCTATCGAAAGGAAATCGACGATTAGCCGTCGTCGTCGTCGTCGTCGTCTTACCTTCATGCTTGGAAAACCGATGCCAACCAAAAAATTAGCCAACCAATTGACGAGGACCGCGATGGACATGGCGGCGGGTCTGGGGCCTTGCGAGAACAGTTCCGCCGTGATCATCCAAGGGATGGATCCGGGTCCCACGGCGAAGAACACGACGAAGCATAGAGTGGACACCACCGAGATGTAGGACATCCAGTCAATCATTTCCTGCACATAGCCAAAGAACTCCTATCAGGCAGTAGAATCATGTTCTTCTTTCCTGAGCAGCTGGAGGAGCCTCAGGAAGAAAACAAAACAAATGCACGGCAGGCCCGAGAACTCAAATCGAAAATTCGGAAACATATGTCGAACGTATGCACAATAATCTTGTAGTGTTGTTGCATGCGGTGCGTAGCTCAACCCTGTGTAAATGAAGGCGTTTGGCGACAAAAGTGATTTTTGGCGGCAAAAGTATCCCTTCGTATATATAATGACGTGCCTTGTTAGTACAATACAAATCTCTCGTTAAGCGGTGAAGTTGCTCTTCATGATGAGTGCCAGGATTTGCTTTGACCTCGATTATATATAGTATGTAATATTATCGTTGTTGTACGCACAAAACATACACGTGTGCAAAAGCAGTTTTGAAGATACAAGTCTGATGTGTACATATTTTTTCTCGAACAATTCGTATGAAATCATCGTCAATGTAACATCGATAAAAATATGAGGTGCGAATAACGACGCTTGTAATTCATAGTTATCACGAAGAACACATTACATTCCTTATCAAATTCTGATATGAAAGCATCGGTGCCAAACATTCAGTAGCTGAGGAATAATTGAATTTTATTCGTAAAAAGTAATGGATATGTATACGTATTGTAAGAGAGATTATTCGTCAAAAGTATGTTAATTGCTGATGTAATTGCGACATACAGAGTGACAGGTTTGAGCCAAGTAGAACATAGGCTGATTAATAAACAGGAAGTAAATGTCTCCTCCAGACAGTCACGAAAGAGGTCGTCAGTGGTGAAGGGGAGGGAAGGGAAGCGGGTTATCAAGAAGCAAAACTGCTAGTAAGCCAAAGTAACAAAATGTGCAAGCTTATATGATACATATATATGACACATTGCTTTTTTTCCTATCTTTATAATATCGATTAGTATTATTTTTTTAGCCAAGAGTTGAGCGCAGAGGTGTTTAATAACGATTCTTAAATATTTATATTAATATTAGTATATTTAAATAAATATCTTTATTTAAATATATTTATAATTAGTCTTGTTTGAAAATTTTTACGCAAGATCGAGTAATGTTCATATGTATCATAATAATATAAAATGTCTACAATGCAAAAGAAAAAAAATGACATGCGGGTAAAGGACGTGACTTATTAGTTATATGAATGGCGGGAAAAAATTAACATGAATTGACATAGTGATGCAAAAATTCGTATAGATATAATAGTGATTCTCACTGTCGGTGCAGTGCTGCACTCCAGCTGTGAACAAAGTGTTAAGTACACCTTTCGCCAAGGTGCATAAAGTGTCAAAGCACAAATACGTAGCTATGTACAATTTATTTGTTGTTTGTGATGCGATTTTCCTTAGTAAAGCGCAAAGTTCTTAACAGTATAGAAACGCATTAATAAATAAGTTTGTTGTAATTAATAGAATCTTCTTCGTTATACGATCTTCTAAATAGCATTGAATAAATTGTATCAATGTATAGAATTACGTAGAGAGAGAATAGCGTCCTTTAATTATTTTCTTACAATTATCAGTTTGAATTAAATTAACGCGCGATAAACATCAACAGAGAATTTCCGAGATATTGTTTACAATGCTAAACTACTTTCTTGTAACTTGTTCTTATAATAATATTATGACTGTCAAAAGCAGGCAACGGGAAAATTTTAAATCTAAATTATCAACTATAGCTTATCATTAAAATAATAACGAACATGTTTCATAAGAGCGCATTAAAATTTTAACTCACCTTTATGAGAAACGAAATTGTGATGAATATTGAAAAGATAAACATGCCACCGAGACCATACAAGTGCAATGTACGCCTTCCTGTCCTATCCATGAGCGGGATGGACACTAGCGTCATACAAACCATAATGGCACCAATGCCAATGGTTGCAAACTTGGCACTCTCGTCCGTTAAACCAGAACTAGTGAACAGATTCGTGGAATAATAAAATACCTGAAAATGCGCGCAAAAATTTCGCATCAGATTTAAAGAAATTATAACATTGACATAATGAGAAAGAAAATATATAGATGAGATGAGTTATTCCACGAAAATCGTTACTTACGGCATTGATACCCGAAAGCTGCTGCGAAAGTTGCATAACCACACCAATAACGAGAGGTGCTCTTAAAGTTGGGCTGCATATAAGCTCGGTCATTGAGATTGTAGACTCAGCTTGTTGAGCTCGTTCCTCCGCTCTCATCTCTTCAATGTCTTCTTCTACTTGGTTACTGGCTCTCAACCTTCTCAAAGCTTTTCGAGCCTCTTCCTCCCACTGTTTAGTAATGAGCAAATATCTGAAACCATTTTTTTATTAATTATATATACTATTGCTTGTATCAATTGTGAGTTTCAGAAATGTTAACGAGTTAAAAAATTAAAGATGTATTTTTACTCTCGAACTGAATCCTTAATTGAAGTCTTCGAACAGCCTATTCGGAAATGAAAATAAAAATTTTGTTTTAACATTACAATTGTAAATTTCAGATTTTACCTTGGAGATTCCGGGCAAACTGGAAGCAGCAATAGCTGTAGAATGGCAGGACAGATAGCTAGTCCTAAGAGAACGGGCCAACCCTCGTTTGTTCCAAGGATTTGCTCGATGCCCAGCACCTGGGAGACCAGGAGGCCCACCGTAACAGCGAGCTGGTTCACCGTGCCTAGGCCGCCTCTCAGGTTCAATGGCGCTATTTCCGATATGTACATGGGAACCAACGAGGTGTTCAAGCCACAATTGACACCGATGATGAACCGTCCGAAAAACAACATCTCGTACGACTCAGCGAGCTTCGTAAAACCCATCAGGCACGCCCCCACGATGCCCAGCACGTTGTTTAGCAGTAAGCCTCCCTTTCTACGATTCGAAAAACAGAAGGCCAAAGTTAACTTCTGTATTTTCCATTTATAATTATTATGCCAATATTAGTCAGATTTTTTAATATCGAGGCGTGAAACATTATGAAATATCGAAATTTTATTTAATATTATGTAAAATCTTCTGATTTTACATAATATTAATACACATATATATGTTTTTTAAATTATATAATCTTTATCCAGGCATTTTTTTTATAATCTTTTCGCTCGCAATTTTTAATAAATATGTACATATATACCCAGATAGCGCAAGCTATTCGAAAAGAATTCATTTCTATGTCACCAATTTTGAGTCGAAATTGATGACATACAAATGAATTCTTTTCGAATAGCTGTGCTATCTGGGTATTTACTTGTTGGAAATTTCGAGTGAAAAAATAGATTATAAAAAAGAAAGCATGCAGAAGTATTATATATTGCAAAGCATTGATTATGTATAAAATCGAGGAACATAATATTGATGCCAACCTGCCAAATCTGTTGGCGATTGTTCCTCCACTGAAACCACCCACCATACCACCGATCGCGAATATGCTCACGGCCACGGAGTATAATGTCTTGACAGAATCATCCGAAATATCCTCTCCGTATCTATCCTTGTACACATCTTTCATAAAATTTTCTATATTCTGTAAAAAGGTTGAACGCGATTAATTTATAGGAACACAAATGTTCGTTTATGAAAATTATCAGTGACGTTTAGTGTATATACATACATACAGCCATGTTTATGTTTTAAAAAAACATACCACTTCAGGCGCGTTAATCACTCCAGTATTGTATCCAAACTGCAACATTCCCAATACAGCTGCCAATATCGCATACGATAGGAAAAGTGTCAGTCCCTGAAAATAATCGGAATTATTATTTACGCGTTTACGTATGTGTGAAATACATTACCTTCAACATATATACTTTTAACACACGCGAAAATATGATGAAAGGAAAGGCAATTAATGAGGTACATCAGATATAAATAGAATAATGGAGTAAAATTAAATAAAAATACAAAACATAGGATTTAATTCTGCAAGTTTTATTAACAATTTCACAGTACAAACATTATCGGCAAAAAAATCATATACGTCGCTAAACAAATTAAAGCATATATAACGTGAGAACAACAACTCATTCGCAACATAACAACTCAAATCTCGCATTAAAACATTTCTCGTAACGAAACGTAACGAAAGTTGTGTAAAATAAAATAAAACATCATTTTTTAAAGCCGGAAATCACCTGCTCCAGTAGTCTAAGTTTCCGCCGATGGGAGTGCTCTTCCAGTCGATCCACGTACTCCCGTAATTCCTCTATCTCTTCCTTAACTTGCTGTACCGTATCTAGTTCGTGCTGCGTGTCAGGAAAAAAAATACCTGAGGCACACTTCCATACATACCAAATACGATTTTTACATGATTAAAAATAGGGTACGTCAACTGACGCAGGAATTTTATTCTTAGATGTGAAATTTTCTACGGCAATCTATATTGATTTTTTCTCTCGATTATATTTCACGCATATTTCATGACTTTTTCCCACAGTTATCTATTCGCCATTTATACATCTCGAATTAAGAATATATTGATATTCTACAGTCTCTTATACTTTTATATATAAAAGAGATAATATCCTTAATTATTTTATTATCAAGAAAAATTATGAAATCATCCTATAATAGTTTCTTCACTATATTAATTTTAAAAAGTGACAGCGCAATCATATATTATTAAAAAATGTTATTAATATTATTAAATTATTTCTTCGAAATAATATTCCTGTCTATGTATCTCGGTATTATTATTTGCTAAAGAGAGCAGTCTAAATCAGAAATTTAGTTAGATTGACAACGTTTGGATCCAAAAAAGTAGACGCATCGCAAGAATAGAGTACCTTAATCGCAACCATGTCCCGCTTCACCTCGCTGACCTCGCTCTGACAAGACTCTACGCTCTTCGTGAGCTCCTGCAGCTGCGTGCGGATCTCGCAGAGAGCGACGGTGGTCTCCAGCTGGCGGTCACCCCGCTGCAGCTCGTCCAGCTTGGCACTCAAGTTCATACTCATAACGCTGACCTGTTTCTGCAGACTGTTCCCACACACATAATCCCCGCGTGAATCTCGCTGATTCGTACGGGCGAGCAGATCGACAACATTGTCGAGCACACCGACACTAGACGTTCAATGCTAAAGCTATTTCCCTATTTTTGTAAGATAAAATCCAACTATCTCCACGCTTAATTGCCGAGCATCTTCGCCTGCAAGATGGTTTAGCGCGTCGCTAAAACGTAAATTTACTTTCTCGCGTCATATTTATATCGCGTATGAAAATGCATGATTAACACACATGTAAAATATAAAAGGCGATAGATAGATTTTGCATAGATGTTAAAATATGGAACACGTTTGCCCTTGACAGTTTGAAAATGCAATGAGCCAGCATTAGCTCGGCAGCTCATGGGAATGTTGGATAAATTATAATACGAATAGCACGTGAACAGATATATATATATATACATATATATATATATATATATATATATCATGTATATAATATATGTATGTACACAATCGGCTCTCTCTCTATATATAATATATATTTATATAGTAAATAATGTCAAGTTGCAGAAAATAATAGCAGACAAAAATATAAACGCCACTAAAAGCATGTCTAAAGTGTGTGTGGTGAGTGTGAGGAGTGACAGACACTACAGTGGAAATATATATATATATATATAAATATTTATTATTTATATACGTATGAATTTATATATATATATGTAAATATATTTTCGCAGCTGTGCACATATTAGATGGAAGTTTGTGAATTCGCGTGTGTGTAGATATTATATATTAGTGCTTCAATATTTGTCGAAGAGAAAGAGAGAAAGAGAAAGAGAATGTCGAAATGATACTCTTTATCTGTGAATTCTAGAATCTCGCAAGCCTATTACCATAACCGTCTTCGGATCTCTTCATTTGGCATATGTACAATTATTTCTATGGCCACACGATGCAGAAATGTGCAAGTGAATGAAAATGACTGACATCTCGCACACGCTCAATGTACACACATGTAATCATGAAGGATCATGAGACTTTCGAACAAACTAGGTGAATTGGCAAACTCATCGATCGATGTGCACAGCCAAGCAGAAAGGGTGACTTAAGATGAGAATAGAATATAATAGAATAGAGCAAGAGAGAGAGAGAAATTTTTTTTCTAAAATGTGTAATGAATGGCAGCAGGTGAATAGCAGAAATGAATGAGCACATGATTCGAAGAGACGTGAGGGAGAGATAAGATAGAAGATGTAGGAGGAAAGATAGAGAAGGGTAACGAACAGATATAAAGAGACATAGAGAGACGAAAGTATGTACACTTATCAAACAAGGGATTTGTACCACTATTTGAACGATAAAAGACAACGTGAGACTATAAGAAATCGGAGAGACGTAGAGTAAGGAATCGACAATTAAAGCATTCAAGAATTTATCGAGAGACGCATTCAGGAATATGTACATTTAAGAATCTATGCATTCAAAGAGAGATTAAAGATCGTTTTTTATACACGTTTCACTTTCAATTGTATTTTAAAAAAATTATAATCAAAAGTGGTACATAAAACTAGTTTTGATAAGCGTATATATGCAGATAGAGACGAGGGAAAGATGGAAGAAAAAAAAAGATAAAAAAAGAGAGAGAGCAGTGATGATGTTGTCATGTACCTGGGAGGTAGGGAGACCATGGCTGTGTTCCGAAACTACAGTAGCCTCTACGCCTCCTCACTCACACTCCTCTTGATTCAGTATTTCGTCTTATTCTCACAGAGATCTATTTGTTCTTTGTTTTGTTCACACGAGACATATGTACGTACGTTGGATTATCCACCAAATCCAATCAATTGACTCTGAACTGCTTGTTGTCAAGTGGTTGTCCACAACCAAAGGTGGAGAGGTAACACGTGTACACGGCGAGAGGGGGTATAAGGCCCGACGACGCCCCGCCCCTGCCTCCTCTCTTATCTCACTCACTCTGTAAAACTTTACCTAGTTTGGAAACACAGTCGTGGTTCAGTCAACAAATCATGTCATAATGATATATTCGCTCGCATTTAGTAATCGTGACGTCCAATTCACTTCTATCGAGAGAGAGAGAGAAAAAAAAAAAGAAAGAGACGGAGCCGTCACGTGTGAAAGAGATATACGTTCTTCACACATCACCATGCGACGCACCGCCAGCTTACTCACCCCTGCCTAGCCGCCCGCGTCCACAAGCGAGCTTGCACAATTTCAATGGCCCATCACTTTATGCGGAACGAACAGTCGGCAAAATAATTTACAAAAAATCAGCATGATCTCATGAGAGTGAATAGAGAGTATCCAGACACGCACACAAATAAGTCACAGCGATGGCACATCGAACAACAAGTATATATGTAGTAGTGCTTATATTGTCATCTCGCGAGGATCCAATCGCGCAGATCCTCGAGCAGAATCGTGCTCGTGATTATTAACTATAACTATATAGATTTGTGTCGCACAAAAGTGAGTAACATTTTGAGATTCTTATACAGTGAAGTCACAATCCATCTATTATGTATCGACGAAAATATCCCAAATACTATTTTTTTCCTCATTTAGGATATTATTCGACCGCAATTTTCTTGCACAATCGCGATTCTTTTTACCAATAGCGGTGCAACAATAGAATTTCATCGCGAATCGCTTCGTTGGAAACCAATTGCTTGTGTCCACGTGTGTATACAGACCGGATATCATTAGTCTGCGATCTTTAGCCGTCATTTCGAGCTCTAGCGGTGCTATTGCGAGCTTATTTGTGCACCTGACTTTGAAAGGGAGATATGATTTCGAATGGAATGAGCAATCAGTGGTAAGCCTGCGAGCGCCGCAGCCAAAAAATTCAAGTAACCATAACAACGGCATCGGTAGTGTCTGATTATCAACTGTTATGAGACCGAGAGTGTGTAGTATATGTACAAGAATAGAGCTTAAGAGCGAGTGTGATTTATGTATAAATGATGAATGGCATGGCACAAAGCCTTGTATTGCATTCTCGGATACATAGAGAGTCTATATAAAATAATAAGCGGGGAAGACGCGTCCGTTTTTTCCTTTTTTTCCTTCTTTTTTTTCTTTCTTTCTTTCTTTTCTTTTTTTTTTAAATTTGCCGTCACGTGATTATCGTAAAGTAAAAGGCACCGCCACACACTTAGGTCGGAATTACCTGGATGCATTTGCAACACAGTTTTACGTTCTCGAATGAACGATGTTTATGGAAAATGGTACCGGTCGTATAAAGTCGTTTTCGTCGGTGGCGAAGCTTTATTTGATCGATAAGTAAGCGTTATCGATTTCGAGGAGGAGAGAGCACTTTAACACGGCGGATAAAAGAGAACGAGAAGTGTCCTCTTGATTGGTATGCAAGTCTCGAGAGCTCGTAAACACGTTGTTCTATCGAAAGTACTAAGATAAGTTACTCGCGAGAGAGATTTAAAGTGCCATGTCTCTCGTAACATAACTGTTAACATAACTACGATGAAGCCTTCATCAGGGTGAGTGAATCCGTGGACAAGCATGTCGTTCTGAACTGAATTCCGCGATAAGGGAGAATATCAAACGAGACTTTGAAAAAGACCGATAATTACTTTTAAATTATTTTTTTTCCAGTATTGATGCAGATTTGTTCATGATATTTTTCCTCGATCATTATAACATATATGACTCTTCATGATAATTTTAATTGACAATAATTTAATCGACAATGTATTTCTTCGAGCGAGAATCTAAATCAGAATCGTAATTTGTTTCAGAAACAAAGCGAGCCAAGAGTAAATCATTCAGAAATTGAATGATGGCAGAATAACGGCGACTCTATCATGCCACATGAGATTATTTAAACAGTAAGTATATATATAGAAACTAAAAGAAAACTACGCTTTACTCGTCATGAAAAGAGTAAAGTATGATTTCTCTATACAAGAACCTAAAAAAAATCACTACTAATGTGAAAGTCAATACAAGAACTCTAAGGCTAGACTATGTTAGAACAATAATTCAAATTAGAACTCATTCGTTTTCGCAACGTTCGCCGAGTCAATCTTCTACGGCCGAGAAAGAAAAAAAAATTATGTACACCACCGCCAAGTGTCATTGCTCTCAATTTCTTCAATCAGATCTGGTCGTAGAAGCTTAACGTGTTGTCTGACACGAACAATGCGAATAGTAAGCAAATGGTAAGCTTTCGCTCGAATTTGATTCGAATAAGTGGGACTTTTTTCTTCAAAAATCGCGAATATATAGTTTGCAACGTTACTAGCGTCGACGAGAGCTTGCGGAATTCACGAATAGCGCGAATCCTTCGCAAACTCGTATCGACGCTATCCAACGTCCAACAATCCAGATAATTCTTGGAGACATATTCGGTGGCGACGCCAATCATTCTTGAATAACGTATAATTTGTGTTTTTCCAGGTTGTTATAAAAGCCTTGTTGGTTTTTCGATAACGATTACGTCGAGTCCAAGGATGCTAAAGAATCTAAGAAGCCCAGCAGCCGAGGACTAATCGCCATATGAGCCCGGAATTGCGAATGTAAATGAGCGGTAATAAGCCAGACAATTTTTTGCATGATTAACTTTGTTTTTTGCATAGCACAAAAACCTGAGAAATCTTTGTCTTTGCAATCCTAAAAAACAAGCGGTGTAAATAAAAGAAGTGCATATCGTCCTTTCGTACATTCTCTCGTTTCTCGGAAAAAACGAGGGGAATCGTTCCGTATCCAACGGCTCGTATCGCAAACGATAATCCTACCGAGATATCAACAAAACTTGGACAACAACGACTCTTCCTCTTGGAAGTAAGAGCAGGCATGTAAGAGTGGCACGAAAGTTGTCGGCCGATAATCGCGATAATTTTCACGGAGCTAAAGTGATGTACACCGACTCGAGAGGAGAAAGGTATAGTGGTATAACCAAGAGAGTGCGAGAGAGACTCGTCGTTCGCTGACCGGATCGTACGAACGTACCTTACGAGCAACTCCCGTAGAGTGGCTTCATCGTCTTCCTGTACCTCTTCCTGCGTCTCATTACTGAACGCGCCGCGGCTAGAGTGATGATGGCGGTGCCTGCTGCCGGTCGACCTGGCGCCGGCTGACGGTGGATATTGGCCGTGCACGCCGTGATGGTGATGATGGTGATGCGTCGCCGAGGCGTTGGTGCTGGCCGAGTGCAAGTAACGGGCGACGGTGCTCTGGCTCGTTGATCGCCCCCTGGTCAGCTTGTGGCCTTGAGCCGCAGGAGGCGGCAATACGGCGCCTGTACCGGGGTCCACGCGGATCCTGTGCGCGGCATACCGCTCTTCCTCCACCCTGCTGACGACGACGATGTCCTGCTGACGTGCCCGATCCGAAGGCCGACGCCGATCGGCCGATCCGCTGCGCGATCTCGCACCGCCACTCGCGCCCGATGATCGTTCCGACCGGCCGTTCCTGCCGAGGGTCCTGCTACGGGGGATGGTACCACCGCTGCCGGCGACAATGTCCTCCCGGCCTCCCCCGGATTGATCGCCCCACCAGTCGCCGCTACCTCCAACCTGGACCCCGAAGTCGAGACTTCCCCTGCTGCCGCCGACGTTCTCGTCCTCCTCCCCTTGCACCGTGCGTCCAACGCCGGCACCAGCTGCCGGCTGCTCCGTATCCTGGGGGCCCGAGAGGCCCGGGATCTCCTCGTAAAGACACTCCGAATCCTGATCCGTCGGCACTGTCGTCGCGCTCTGCCACAACTGGTTTATTGGCTTGAAGCCGCGTGAATCGGCCATCGTTCAAGCTGCGCCCAAAGACAGACGGAAGCCGTACATACATCAGTGGTGATCCTCTCCGATCATCCTCTCCGATCATGCTCTCCTCTTTTTACCGTTTGCGTATCCATTGCGATAACTAACGACATTTCGATAAAGTGCCCAGTGACGATCCTTTCTCGTGACGCTTGTCTCCGCGATTATTTTGTGGAACAGATTTTTCGTTAACGAGAGAGAGAGAGAGAGTGATGAAGTCAATGAGATGCACGATACAACGAAAAATAATATCGTGTATCGCGGCGGCGCGCGGTGAAATTTCAATGTATGACGATATTCCTATCTATCTAGAAATCCATCACGCGCGTTGATTAATGCGAAACAAATTTTAGAAAATTATGCGTGTCCTAGCCGTAAAGAACCGTCTGGCAGACAGCGCGAAGAAATAATTCACAGAGAATTCGCCCGTGATGCGCATGCATACAAAATGCCCCAACTTTGCCGGCTCGAGCTTTCGCTCGTGTCGCGGCTAATAATACGAGACGTCGCGTCGCGTCGACTTGGAGTAAAGGATAACTGAAATAATAGCGTTTGCCCTCCGAAGTGTCGCGATCCCGGCGGAGCGGAAGTTGCTCCGCATTTGTAGACGGTTTGCGAACAAACTGTATAGACTCATCACATTCGGACGGTTGCTAACCTCGGCTTTTGCAGCGACAACGAGAGACGGAAGTCTGCGAATGACGTCGCCTGCAGGCGAGTTGCAGGATAATGCTGAACCGTTCCAAGAATGACAATCAATTCCAAATATATTCCGCTTTTTCCCCCTAATTATGTTTGATTGCACGATTGCGATGATCTCTTTGGATCGACATAAATACTTCCGGGAGAATAATGTAATACTTTTGTTCAGTCATTGTGAGTAAAAAAAGCTTCCGATACCAGATGGCTTTTTCTAGGGTCTTAAAGATACATGAGCTTCGCGAATAATGATCGGAAAAGAGGAGCGAATCATATTATATAACATATGCAAAGTTGCCACGGTGATGGAAGTCTGTAATTTGTAAGGTCCACTTTACGGGGCTTTCTCGAGCAGACGGGGAGCTTCATATTTAAAGAGGATAAATTACAAACTTAGTCTCCATTCGTGCGCTTCGAATCTCTCCCCTAATAAATTCAACGTCAGCATTTTTAATGGCGACGCGAAAATAGCGCTATTCTTAAACATTCATAAGAATTTCCTGAGAATTTCCCTCTTATCTTTTAGTTACCTTGAATTCGAGGGTACGGAAGTTCGTTTCACTCACAACGACCAGTATACCCTGGGATGTGATGCGGATGAACTTTATCATCATCGAAAACACGGGTCATCTATCATAAATGAAGTAATACAGACTCACCTTAAAGAATTCGCAAGCCATTGTGCCCGGCGATGATATATCACGCCACGACGTTTCGTCTCGCACCTGCTCGCTCCGCTCGACGAAGAAGGAACTCCGTTGTTGGACCCTTCGATCTATCAGCTATCGAAAGAGATCACCTCGCGACGCGAAAGAGGACAGCGAAACAACGCGGAGGGAGAAGGTAGAACGGGAAGGGTGTAAATACGACGATATACACGGATGCGAAAATGGAGAGGCACGCGGGGATTTCCACCGCGTTTCTGTTGTACGATGTTGCACTAACGTAATCGCGTTTTCAGAGGGGCCTCTTCTTCCCTCCGATCGATCGGGCTTGTATCGGATTCAATTCGAGACGGCGAGTGATAGTGATAAGTACCTGAAACAGACGGAGATATCGGTTAACGTCGCTGACAATGAGATACTCGAGACGAAATATCTGACTGCTAATTGAAATGCGATAATCGACAATAGACCAAGATGACATATCAGATTTTAGTTAAACGCTTATCTTTTTTTTAATTCGCAATCTGTACTTCATGCATAAGAAAAGCAACAGTCATGCGTCGTGTGGTCTAATTTTGTCTTTTGGACTTTGAAAACTGATAAAAAAAAGAATGCGCCTATCCGTATTTGGTAACGTCGATAATATTGTCAACATTTCTAAAGTTGCGACACTGGACTAAGATATGAATTATTATCGAGTTAGAAACAATTTTCGTAAATGTCGACAGAATTGTACTGAAATTTGACTCGTAAAGACTTATCTATGACACGCTAAAGTTAATTAATAATAGCTAAAATTAATTAAATAATAAGTTTGTGGAATGTTATCTTCACATTTACAATCGTTCTTCTAGAAATTAATCAGAAAAGAGGAATGCATTTTTACTTTCTTTTCCTTTTTTCTTGGAAATTGTGAAAAATTATTGCCTCCGGATTCTAGAAGATTATTGTTCGTTAAGGACACACGAAAGTCGAGAGCTATTCGATATAATCAGGTCGCAATTTCGTGGGGACGAGAAGAGAGGCAAACATGTCAGGAAGGAAAGAACGGGGGAAACTTTTGTAAATATAAATACTGATAGAAATTATTGCGACAGGAAGATTACATCCGCAACCGATTGTTGCGAAACTTTCTATACGTATATCCGCATCTCTCGTGAAACGCGACTGAAACTTTTTTTCACCGCGTGCCCAATAAAGGAGTAGGGATAACAATTATATTGTAAATTATACGTGTCATTAAACATAGCTATAGTTAAGTCCTTCCGCGCATTTCGCCCGTGATTCTCCTTCGTTTCTGATAATGGCTTAACCGCGTCGCAGCAGGTAGATAAAGTCTGATAATAGTTTGGCCGCAAACTCCCAAGTTTCCAAGAGTTTCCGCAGAATAATTTCGCTTGCAAATGTTTGTCCATATTTCGAAATTACATCGTAAGTAAATCCACGAGAACTGTCATCTGGCCCGCCTTTGGAGCTTCGTCCATTTAAATTTCGATTTAAATTTCGCCACGTGCGCAAAATGTCAGTAAAAAAAAATGTTACGGAATTGACATTTTTCCCTTAAAGATAATTGCGTTTTTAAATTTCGACAATGTGAGTAAACGATGAAAAAGCGCGTTAAAACGCTACAAAAGACAGAGTTGTGCGATAATATTATCAAAGGACGTTCGAGTCACCGATTAAAGTTTGTTTAGCCATATAAAGCTCGCAGATTACAATTGTATGATTTTAGAATAATAAGGAAATAAAACGCGATTCTAGTAATATGAAATGATGCGAAGCATCTCGTGTGTTTATCACTTACGTAATGAATTACTGGTTTCCGCTATTAACTATTTATAATCTAATCTGTTGCACAATCTAATTGCTTTGATAACGAGGAACAAAATTGTAAAAGTAATCGCTTCTCATATAGAGAAAAATGTGTTTAATGATATATCTTTATCATAATTTATAATATCAACATACACACATATAGTATTATTAATTTTTAGATTAAAATAAAGCCTCGAATATCGTATAATATATTTGAAATTTTTGTCAATTATTATCGACAAAAAATATGAAAGAAAGGTGACAAGTCTTAGGTTTTCTACTCTATATTTACATTATTTATTAATATATAAAATGACTTTATAGTCCGTTTGTATAATAAAATATATATGACGCGTATATTTTTTATCAGTATCGTAAATAATTATATTATACATGATATCTTGAGTGTTTAATCTCAATTTAAAATTCTGTTTCAGGAGGAAAAGTTCAAACGGCGTAAGTCAACACACTGGGAAAACCGGTTCACAGACACCGACATACGCGTGAGTTTCCATCGATGATCTACAAGCACTCTCACCTGTCACCGAACTCGTCGTTTTTCGTTTGAAGATCCTGACTCCTAAACCGAGAGTATAGGACCAGCTGCATCCGAGCCGAGGGTCGTCAAACGCGTTCGCGAACGCCAACGACCGGAGATCAAACGCAAAGTTGTCGAGCTGTCGCTCGACCCGGCGCGACTCTGTGACTGAACCGAGAAATCCATTTGAGTTTCTCTCTGTCCCTCGATTTCTCCTACCATGTATGCCCCTACGTCGCGTCCTCGTTCAATTAGATTCGTCTCTCCTTCTCGCTCCTTCACGCTGTCATTTGTGTTTTTGCCGTCAAGGTTTGCGCGCACTTTGTCAAGTCTCTCTCTTTCGCGGTATTTCGCAATTACGCTCGAGGATTAAGAGAACGTGCAGAAACGCACGGCGATTAAAATCACGTCGATACTGGGTCTTTACGAGAACTATATTGTGCGGTTCTATGTACAATGTATATTGACCTCAAACTGTCTTTGTCAAATTCTTCCAAAGAGACAATTAGTTAATTGTTATCGGATAATATAAAATTTATAATATAAAACTGATAATTAAACAGTGAAATAGTAAATCATATGTCAAATCATAAAGTGTTAAAAGGGAAGCTGTTGATCGTGACGCAAATCCTTGAGTGCACGTCTGATATTTTATTTAGAAACTTGCTTTATTAACGATTAAAGAAAAAAGACATCGGGCTTCTGTTTGCAAATCAAATCGATTCGCGTTTAAAACATTTCTGGCATAAATAATTGCGAATCTTTTAAATAAATTCTGATGCTCATTTAATTAATTACTTATAAAATACGAATCTGTTTCGTTTTCTTTGAATTATCTGAATGCGCTGTAGACATTTATCTACATATGTTACGAACGAGGCAATGTATGTCATTATGCAGACGTCGTAATGTTGATTTTTCATGTGCTTTATCTTTAATTATCAGTTTTATGATTGCATAAATTAGCTTTATTTCCACGAATTTCGTGTAAAAATATATTCATGCTAAAGTGACTACGATAATAGCTTGGCTTAAAATATAAGACAAAAATATTTTCTTGTTTTTAATAACAGAAAAGTAAATAAAACTTGAAACATGAAATTAATCAAGATATTTTTTTAATGTTTGAGAACGTCGAATCAATAATATACAAGCAGTATAGAAGTACCAACATTTTAGGAAACGAAGTTGTCACAAATTCGCAGTTACGTAATTAAATTTTTGTAAGACTATTATCAATGATCGCAACTGTTGAAATCATATTTTATTCAAGGACTTGGAATTTAATTTTTAAAACCAGATTTGTACTACACCTCAATTTTTAATTTTATCTCAAGGAATCTGTCGTTCTAAAAACTCAAGAACACTACATTTTTTAAAATATCGCCTCCCCCGGTTTCTTGACAAAAGCTTTCTAATATAACGGTTTAAAATAAAGTTCCTTGTGCTCACGGTCCGACTAATACAAGACCCAGATCGACACCTATACAGTAATGACCTTATAAGGAACCTCATTCCAAGCGTACTCGTAAATGTCACGAGTATTAATTTATCCGCATTGGATGCGTCTCGTAAAAAAATAAATAGTTACGCTATACGTACACGTTGTTTGTGTAAGCTTCAAGGAAGTTTAATAAGCACCGGCCGTGAATAAGGCAAAGGCGAATAAGGAGACGTCCTACGTAGCCGTCTTAAAGAGAGAGAGAGAGAGAGAGAGAGAACGCAACGTTATAAATGACAGAAATATTTACACACTACCGCAAACGTAATGGGAAAGGATGCGCTCCTGCGAAGCATCTCGCAATACATCTTCGGCTTTGTGACATCCGGGTGAACGAGTTTAGCCGCGAAGTCGCAAAATTCGCGAGACGGGGGGTGAAGACGTCTCTTGATGAGAGAGAGAGAGAGAGAGAGAGAGAGAGAGAGAGAGAGAGGGAGAACGTATGTCCTACTTTGCGTCTCTGTTTACTCGATCATCCGCATGCATCCCCTTAAGCCAAAAACTTTTTATTCTCGCGATGCAGATTCCGTGTCTTCGTCCTATTTATGTGCTTTCTTTTCACTACTCGATTTTTAACCCGCATCTCGCTTTAAAGATACTTATTGTTAGACGAGAACTTTATCTATTTGTTATGTATTTTATTTTATCGATTGTGTAATCAGGATCCTCGATAAAAATCCGCGTGTAGGAAGAGGATATGTTTCGAGAAAAATAGAGATTTTGCCATAAAAAAGTTAATTACTTTTTAAAGAAGGAAATAGGTTCTTTGCTCTGTTATATAAGTATACAATTTATTACACGCATAAATAATGCGAGTAATCCTCGATTAGGTAAGAAAATCGAGCAAAGGAATCTCCTTTGAGCAACTTTTGCCTCCGCTTCCAACCGCGAGTCCTTCATAATGCGCAAACTACCGAAACGAGGCTACGCGTGGTAACTAATATTAATTAGCCTCGCTGCACCGGGCAATAATTTTGCCGTGAAACACGGGCAATGTTACGGGTCATGTTATAGATTTACACAAAAGACAATGAATGCATCACCGATCATCTAAAATCGAGGGAAAATAATCGCAATCCTTTTTCGCGTTCAAAGTTCACTGCGTTCCGTTCAACTTTCTACATAAGGCACTACGTATACTTACATACACTCTTGGTCGCGTGCATATAGTGTTCCAAAATTCCCGGACATGCTGTTAATGAGAGATTCCTAAAATTATTTGAAGATAATTTTTCCTAAGCGAAAATGTCGAAGGAAGTCATCATTTTTCGCACGTTCCCAATTTTTGTAACTAACAATAAGCCTTCAATTAAAATGCTATCAAAGTAAAGTCTACCTGAAATTAATGGATGAATGTGATTTTATTTTATTTCTACAAGGTTTAGTTTGCGAAAACCCATTTATTTTCAATTGCTTGAAAATTACCTCGACATTTTCACTGAGGAAAAATTACTTCCAAATAGTCCCAAGAATTTGTCATTAACGGAAGCACGGTGGTTTTAGAACACCCTGTATATGTGATGCAGCCACATGTTACCTATACACACGCGTCGCGTAATCCCATATTGATGAACGAAAGCCCGAGTGCATCGGTATTTCAGTAGCCCATCTCAAGCCGCCGACATGACTAACGGGATTAGCGTCTCCGCACGTCATTAGTTTATCCATCATCACCACCCTTCTTCCTTTCCCTCTCTCTCGCACCCTTGTTGATGTTATAATTTCGTCTCACGTCATCGCGAAAATATGCATTTACGAGGACACGTACGTGCATTATTCTGAAAAACGCGTCGCTGATGCGCGAAGAACATATATTCCTTTGCTGGTGCATCGGCCGGAAAGTTTTTCAAAGGCGAAACACGCGACACAAAACGCGGTGACACGTACTGCAAATAAAATAAAGGACGGGGGAAGTCTTCGCTCGGGCGTGTTAAATTAATAATTTTTACGGAACCCTCTCGACCCCGTCTGCGCGCGGGTGGATGGCACCAGAGCGAGGAGGAGTCGTTATACATTTTTTAAGGCGTATAAGTGAATATATATTTTTTGCAAATGTGCTTGTATGTATGTGGAACGCGCTCGCGAATGCGCCTCCTTTTTTCAAAGAGAGTCGCGGATATGCTGGTGAATATTTTTAATAATTGACGAACGTTTCTTGGCGAGATAAATTATTCTGCGAGATTTTTTTTTCTTCCGACAGACGATACGGATATAAGGATTAAGCTTCAAACGTTAGTTTTCATATGGATGTGCTAAAATTGATGATATAGACCAGCGTTATTCCTTTTGAAAATTACTTATTCTTTCATTCATTTATTAATTTGTTTATTCAATTTTAGATGAAGCTTTTTTTCTACCTCCATAGAACTTTGATTAAATTTCTCGACTTAATTGCCAAGTGATATCGAGCTGGAATTGAAAAGATCGCGGAAGGTCATTATATGTTTTCCAACATCTTCGCCTCGAAAGAAAGATTGACTCAACGAGATATATCGATTATCCGCTGACTCTAGGACATTCTATAGATTCGTCCTATAATAGGAACGCCATGATACGATCATTAGCCTGAAATCTAACGAGTTAGCCCGGTCCCGATAAGCGTCAAGGGTTAAAAATGGATCCTCGCACCTGGGGGCAACCACGCGCGCGGTGGCTCGCGTTCACGGAATTTCGAGATTTCTTCGTACCCCCCGAATCTCATTAAGCAACATCGAAGGGAGTCACGCGAGCGACGATAAAACGTGATTCGCGAATGTAGCGATGTAGAACCTCGGCGTCGCGACGCGTCGCGCCGGGTGGAGTTCCTCCTCTCTCTCTCTCTCTCTCTCTCTCTTTTGCTCGCTCGCTCGCATTCTGGTGCGCTGCACCGTTTCACTGGAACGCATCGTATCCGGGTAACACGATCGCCAACATTCGTTCCAATGTGGAAAATGCGATCCACGCACGCAGAAACTTTCAATCGTTTTCCCCCTTCACCGAGGGAGACGTGATTCTTCCTCGGGAAAATCCGCGCAACCCCACCCCCTCGAATTAAAGTCCCGTTAAAGTAAAATTTACCTTGAAAATCTCATATTGATATACATATATTTTACTTGAGCGAGTAATCAATTTACAATAAATTCTCTTTAGGCGAAGGACGTCAGCTTTTGCAAGTTAAATCTGAAAATTCAAGGGCCAGCTCGAGGGGAGGATATTTCTGTCCGAGACCAGAGGGAAACGAAGGAGAGAAGGAGAAGGACAAGACGCAGCACGATGTCGAATACCCAGCAACGAAGGTGCGTTCGTGCTCGCCGTCCGTCCGTTTGTCCGCGTCCGTCTGTCCGCGAGTCGAACGCAGCCCCTCGATGGTTCGAGTCGACTCGAACGCGCTCGAGGAGCGCGATGGTAATATATAGTCGGGGACAGACCTCAGCCTCTTCTCGGCACCGTCGCACTCCCTGTTTCGCCTCGCGCGAGGAAACACGAGGGTGGAAAGAAATCCTCGCTGTTCCTAACTAACCCGATCTTGCGAGCGCCGCACGACGTTGCGGACGTCTTGTATTATCGATTGACGAAAGTTATGTGGAGGCGACTAGCCGCCGGGGCACGGCAATCATGACGCGAGCAAGAGAACGACCTGGGGGAGGCGAGAGGGAGGAAGGGAAAAAAGAAAGGAAAGAGGAAAGATTGGAGAAGCGAGAGCGAGCAAACGCGAGGAAATACCACCCTCGCTCCATCTCCCTTCTTCCTGGTTCCATACACGCCATTCTTTAACTTGAACGGTTTTTTTTCAGCTTCGCTATCGCACACCCTCTATTCCGGTATTCCTAATCGTCGTCGAGGAACGAGGAGAGAGACTCGATAGGGGATGATGACACTCACCCTCACGGGGTTAGACCGTCGCGATGAAAGCCTCGTTGGCAGCGCGGACGACCATCATCGTGCTCGCGTCGAAAACGGCAGTAGTGGCAGTGGCAGTGGCACCCACGGCGGCGATGACAATGGCAGCGACGGTGGCGGCGGTGGCAGTTACGACGACGTCGAGGACGCTGTGAAACGCGGCGACAACGGCGGCGGTGGCGACGACGACGACGGCGACGGCGGCACCACGACGAGCAACGTTAGCGTTAGTGTAAACCGATGATGACGGCGACGAGGATAACGAGCAGTAGTCACTATCCACCTCCGTACGATCCGGAGAGGACACCATTTCCCTTTTGCCCGTCCGATCGCGTGCACACCCGACGACGACGACGCCGACGCCCGCACTGCTGCTGCTGCTGCTGTAGCTGGTCCGCGAAACGACGACCACGCTATGGCACCACCGTGGTCGCGCTACCACACCGAGTGACATCGTCGCAGTGTCATCGTCGTCGCGCCCATCGGCGTGCGCTCCGATTTTTTTTCTCTTGCGTGCTGGTTACCCGATATCGCACCGTGTTTGCGCGAAACACGAAAGGAAAAAAAAAGGAAAAAATGAACAAACGAACGCACAAAACGCACGCACTCTCTCTTCCTCTCTCTCTATATATATATCTCTCTCTCGCTCTCTCTCTCTCTCTCTTTTTCTCTTTCTCTTTCTCTCCTCTTCGTCGCTTTCTCACGCTCTTTCTTGCTCTATCTCGCGACGATTACACGCACGGGCACTCGCAGAAGACGGTGCTCGTCCCCCGATCGACTGCACGACACCGATGCCCGCTGATGCCAGGAGACGCCCCAACGCGGGGCACCCAGTTCGACGTATGGCGAGCGACGGCTCACCCCGCGATCCGCGTCTGTGCTCGGCCCGACTCGCGCAGTGCCGTAGAACCCGCGGAGGCGCCTGTCCAGGAAGGAGGGGACGGAAAGGGTGGACGCACCCCCTCTCGCGCGCGACCTTACCTCGACTCGTACCCGAGCTGTGTTACATTATCGCGAGATGTGTCCGTTTATTCGGAAACAACATTCTCGCAATATTGTAAAGCTTTCCTTCTCCTTTTCCTTTCCATCCCCCAATTTCCAAACCCCAGGTAGCGGATGATCTATAATTGACAATTCAATCAATTTCACATATCGTAATTAATTAAATCCGGCATCTTCGCTTAAGGGGATGATTTCTCACCAGACCCGGAGATTCTCCCGAAGGGATCGTCGCGCGGGAAAAGAGACGAACGATTTTAGTCGTGGGCACCGCGAGCTTTTCCGGGCGACCTGGAGCCGTCGGGCATTCAGCGGCAAGGCGGGGGGCTAAGGAAGCCCTTGAAATCAATAGCCAGCCGCTACTGCCGCCGCCACCCTGATCAGGCTGCTCTGCGCTGCATCCGCCACCACCACTATCACCACACCACACACCACCACCACCACCACCACCACCACCACAACACACCACAACCACCACCACCACACACCACCACCAAAACAACCACAAAACACCACCAACACCACCACCACCACCACCGCCGTCATAAACACCACCACCACCACAACCACCAACAACACCACAACCACCACCACCACACCACCACCACCACCACCCCACCATCACCACCACCACCACCATCACCATCACCACCACACCACCACCACCACCCCCCCCACCACCACCACCCCACCACCACCACCATCACCACCACCACCACCACCACCACCACCACCACCACCACCACCACCACCACCACACCACCACCATCACCACCACCACCACCACACCACCACCACCGCCGTCATCACCGTCACCATCGCCGCCACCGCCTCCATTCTCCCTCGTTCCCGTATCTCGATTTATCCGCACGGTGTAGCCGAGGAAGTCGTGTGTCGCGTCTCCGAGTTTAGTTCGCAGCCGAACGTCTTTCGGTATCCAGCACCATCGGTCATCGAGTCCGAGGAGAGAAGGGAAGAGGGAAAGGAACATTTGTGCGGAAACTTTATTGTATGAAGATATCAGTGATGCGCTCGGAGTCGTCTCTACTTTTCGTCTTTGATTTATATTACAGGGATGAGGGAGGGCTCTGGCTCTTCTTTTTGCGACACCGTACCTCAAATTGTATGGTGAACGCTCGGAATTCGACGCATTCGGCGTTGAACTACGATTACGAGTGGCTATGAGAATTTTTTGTACATGATTGTAGACGCTTTCGCAAAAATAATCTGTAATAAGTTTCCACGACGTCGTTTAGCCCTCGAGTGATCTCTTGTAGGAACTTATATTGTTATGAAACTCGTGATTGAATATATATTTTATATCCGAAGGAACACTATTGTATATTTATATGGAAAAAGTCTACAATTCTCTAATTTCGAAATATGGAAAAGCGTTTGAATCATGTGCTTGCTAATTAGAATTGTTTTGCGATATTAAATCACGAGTTGTCACGATAATTTTTACCTCAAAGCTCACGTTATCTCGCTCGTCTGCGATAATTAATAACGCGACTTTTACTAAAAACACTCTCCTACTATTAAATAATTCTTTAATCGCGCACAAACATAACGTAATGATAACTAGCTAATAGGAACTATTTGACGTAAGCGAAAAAGATTGAACTATAAAATACTCAAACCGATATGACGTAAAGACCGAAGTATCGGGCAGCAAGAAAAGAACTCACCTCTGCTGGCCGATTGGCGATAGCGTCCTACATTTGGAAGCTTTATATTTTGACGTTCTTACCGCAACCGCAGGGTGGTTGCGACCCTCCTCGATATGACCGAAAATACAGACGCGTAGGGAGACATCCGTAGATTGCGGTCTGGTTATGAGTTGACCTACTCTACTTCGGATCTACCTACGCGCTCGCTCTCTCTCTCTGTCTCTCTCCTCTGTCTCCCTTTCTCTTTCCGGAGATGCTACCCCTTTCGGAAACTGTCTCGCGTCATGAAGGGGTGCTTGTTCGAATCGTTTTCCGGTATTTTATTTTATCATGTGAATATCTTTCCATTTTGTTCATTCATTTCATCCAATCAATTTCAAATCTTTTAATATTAAATTAAAATATAAATGTAAAATATATAATATTAAATATTGAGAAAATCTTTTAATATACTCTAAAATTAAAAAAAAAAAAAAATATATAATAATATATATATATATATATATAATTAAAACTGTTTAATATTTATAAGACTTAATATTTAATCAAATATTATAATCTAATATTTAGAATTCTCAACTCACATATGCAATACATTCAAGTGGTCGATAAGTTGGAAAGATACATCAATAATATAAAAATAAGAAAGTTAGGAAATATAATGTATCTTTCTCTGCAAAAAGTTCATCCAAACAGCCGCCTTCCATAAATATACGTTATATATACGTCCGTATTCTTGCTTTTAAAAGAATTTATCGCGAAACATCGCACGAACATTGGAATTCTGCCATATTTTATGTTCAATGCTTTGATAAATCCAAAACTTGGATTAATAATGATGATTGCTTAAGAATTTAGATTCAAATTTTAGATTAGGTTTTGGATCTCGACAGCTTCAACACATAATCGTTCGCAAATATAATTAAAAGAATAAAATTGAATAAATATATCTATATGTTGGTTTCGAAATACAATCGGGAGGTCTATGCAGTACATTCTTTAATAGAATATTTTTATTCAAACACGAGTCTTAACGAAATCGCTGTTAATAGATTAGTCGCACGTAACGATTTAGTCACGCATGAAGCAAAACTCTCGGTGTAATCATATATAATTATATACGTATAACAATCGTATGTGTAGATCATATACAACAAATTCTCTTTTGATATCGGTAATAAAATCTCTCTAATGTATAGTATATGTATGTATATGAGATATTTGTTTATATACATATATATATATATATATATGTATGTATATATATATATATATATATATATATATATATATATATATACATATATGCATTGCGTTCTAATTGCATCGCTTTTTTCTACGGAATATGGAGAGTATCTTTGGTGCACGAGATGAGAAACGTGCATTCGAATCTCTTAGGCGTGAATATACATATATATTATATATTTCAAATTCATATGTTACAATATTCTGTTTTACAAAAACGCGACATAGATCAGGCTCGAGTCAATTAATTTCATAATTGATGCATGGGATATACATGTAAAATATATATATGTAAAGAGAGATACAGCTCGAGTTTTACACGATTCAAGATCTAAGATCGTTCTTTCGCTGTAAGAGTCACTGAGACTGAATGTAACAGGAATGTCGGAATTGTAAAAAATAACACTATTAAGAATGAGAGAGAGAGAGAGAGGGAGAGGGAGAGAGAGAAGAGAGAAGATATATATATATATATATATTTACTCGTCTTTTCGAATCAGAAACTCGTACAGCGATGGAAATTCACACCGATATAAAGTATACATGTTGATCGAAACGCTCTTGGGCTATTAATTAGACGCGCTTACAGCATCTAATTTAACGACAGAACGTTTTCTTTATATTTTATGTATATATATATATTGTATATTACAGCCGCGCGAGACACGGAATCCGTTTGCTAAAAAGATTACCAAAGACTAACAAGTGAGAGATATAAAAAAAGAAAAGAAAAACTCTCGGAGCGATGTAGGAAGCCGGTAAGATTGAAATCGTGTTATACGCTATATTGCCTCTAATTCTAAGGCACAGTTATATAAATATTTCTATACCTGTGTGTATGTGTGTGGTTAAGTATTACGTGCTCAACAATAGTACTTTTAAACGTGACAACTTGCGATCAGCCCGTCAGCTCGCGAACTCTGAAATTTGATTGACCCGACTGACTCGCGTCTCTCTTCGTAAACTATTCGACAAATAATAATATATTAAAATTATCATACGTCGTAACTTAGCTCGAACGATAGTTAAATCAGAGAGGTGCGTAATTCAAAATCCTTCGCCATTTGTGATATCCGTGATATATCTTTATTCGTTATTTTCGTAAGACAAACATAAAGAAATAAAAAGATATACACTTTCTCTGAAGCGTCAGAGAAGTAAATTCAATGCATTTTAACGTTTTCTTGTAATTTTTTTTTCTTTTTCATTTTCATTTTCATTTAATATATCAACGCTGGCGGTTACACAGCGACCAGCACAACCAATTGTTGAATCATGAACCACTACTCTTCATCAGCCAGGCCCGCCTCTGATAACCCCTTCTTCCCCTCCGACCCCGACTATATATATATTACACATTTTTTTAAATGGACACAGTACGTGTGCAACGGGGAAACGAGAATAGCGCTCGATACCGAATTGCAGCGGTTCGACCGCTTTGATACACCCGCACATTTTCTGGTTCCCAGGTTGTACAATGTTATTTATGTGTAGTGAAAGAGTCAATTATATAAAGAAAGATGCTATTCCTATATGCGACAGTAATAGCATCCTTACTCGTTCGTGTGTGATCTTTTGCACCAGTATAGCCAGGCTTATTCCGAATAAGTGGTTTACAAGTTCGAAAAAGAATCAGCGATACACAATCAGCGAATAAGAACTTATAATCCCAGCGAGTTTAAAGCGATACAGATAACGAATAACGATTTTGAATACATATTTGTAAATATACAAAATTGTTACTCGTTACTTGCAAGAATACATATTTGTCCAATACTGTTTCAAGGACAAGGCATAAGTTACAAAGCGAAAATCTTTTTATAATATGCACACAAACGTAAATGTGATAAATACAAAAAAAATCGAGCATTATTTACTCGTTCTTTAATAAAAGTCTATTCCTTAAAAAAGAAAGCAAAGATAAATGAGAACAATTTTAAACCAAGCATATTACCAGGTTAAGCACACACCCGTAACGAGCAGCTCTATTAATGTAGACCACTACGTTCATGTTTATAGCATTTATTATGAACATTCGAATAACGCAACGTTTGAAGTCTGTGTCTGCGATCGAACGATGGCATGTGTGAACGGCAGAGGACAGGCTAAAAAAACTTGGGGGCGGTGGGGATACACTGAGGTATACAATAAGATAAAGGTTGTTCAGATTAATTTTCCCAGCAAGTAGCCGACTATGACCATGGCAATGGCGATGAAAACACTAGTTGATGTCGGAGATAACTGGCTATTGCTCTGTGAGGTTAGACCTCTAGCTGCTGCAAGGTTACCGTCATTACCCAGCGCTGCATTTCGCCATTTCATTAAATCTTCCTGCGGATAAACATATACAATACATTGATACCGATTTTCCAAAGTAGCCATTTTTAATTGAATAAGAAAAATGTATGATTGACATTCACTGATTTCTTCTTAAACATTCGATAAATATATAACATTTTTTAATATTAAATTTTGCATACAGGCAAAAAAATGATTGAGTGAAAAACAATTGTATTTAATATTGTTGAAAAATTTAAATAAACTTGACGAATTTAGCCATTATATTTAAAGTGCGATGGATTTGTTTTACACAGGCTAACAAAACTAGAGTATAAAAGAAAACTAAATTTAAACACATAACTATTAAATATCATTGATATTTACCCTAAGTTGAAGATTTTCCTGCCTAAGCGTGCTTTCTTCTACCCTAAGCTGATTAACCTCTTGTGCAGCCTTTAACAATTTCTCTTCTGCCTCACCAAGTACCTGAAAAGAATTATTACTCACAGATTAGTTCAGGATATAACGAGTTATTATTGCGTAAGATTATAACACATATATTTAATGGCGTCTCACCTTAGGTGACGATTTGACCGAATCGCCAACTGCTTTATTCTTTCCATTAGTCGCATTAGAATCTGGCTTAGTTGTCGTGGAAGTTGCAGTCGTTTTAGCCGTAGAAGTAGTACTAGTCACGGGATTTTCAAAGACGCATTTCAGTTTAGAATCCATTAACTGATCCGGATTTATATCCTTCCACTTTAAAAATCAACATTCATGATTTATTACAATGAATGTGATATGATAAATAAATTTATTAAATTCTAATTAAAATTATAGAGAACTATTCTTAGAACAGTTCTAATAACACACTTGCTTTGTTTACTAATAATGTATTTCAATGTCACTTACTACATCAACTGGATATTCATCATCATCATCATCTGGTGCTATTACAGTTTGCACCATAAATTTGTGTTTGTTTTTCTCCGACGGATCAAAATCATATGGTTGTAAGCATACTGTAATAAAATAGTTTATGATAATCAAAAATAGTTTATAGTATTTGATTATAAAAAAATAGATCTCTTTTAAATTTTACAAGTATAAATAGAATTTATATAATTAGCTAGAAAATTAAGAGAGTAGTTCTTCAATATAAAAATAAACTCAAATTTTATGTGTATATAAACTCACCTGCTATTTCAATGACATCCTTTGGCTTGAGGACTCCAGAATTTGGACGTACACAGTATCTCTTTGGGGCAGTTGTCTTTATTTTAAAATATACTTTTTTATTCGTTGGATTAATTAGTTTTATATACGATGTGACTGGACCTGCTGTAAAAGGGCCTGTAACAAAATTAATGAAAAACACATTAAATTAAAGCAGATAGAGCCATATTAATTAAATGCAAGAGAAAAAGAGATATATTCATTTCTTTTTATATGTATGTATTAATAAAGTTATATATTAATAGAGTACACAGAAATATCATTATAAATCAATAACAAATGCTAAAAAGGGCAAACTATTCTGGAACATCAACAGCAAATAATATCAAGTATAAAAGCATAACCAATATATCATTATTTAATGAATATTACATTCTGTTATATTATTCTACTTCATAAAATTAATAATTAATTTCTACACTTTCCAGAAAAAGATGTCTTCTCTTTTAGAAAAAATTACACATTTATTATATTTAAGTAAATATACATTATTTTTAGATTTGATCAATTTTATTTTCCAAAAAAGACCACTATTCATACTACTGCATTAATGATTAGTCATCAGTTTTTAATCATTGATCAAAGTTCCTAGTCATTTTATAATTATTATATAAAGTTTACTTATCTTTCTTTATAAGAAAATACATAAAAAAACCTAATAAATATTATCTCGACAGTAACGTATAAATGTTATCTAACGATATCAACACAAGATTATCTGAACAGAAATAGCTTAATTGACTAATGAAATTCAATAGCGTTATTAATTTACAATATTTCCTTATTATAAATCTGTTAATGAATTATCCTTTCGCACAAGTTATACACAAAGTAGAGAAAAGAAAAAAATAGGAATTAGTGGAAAATCCAAGATACGTGTTACATATTAATCGAATTTAAATATGATTTAAAGTTGTTTACGATACGATTTTAATCTCGATAACGATCACTGATTCGACGATGATTTTCGTATATAAGAGTGCGATATGCCGTGTGCGATCGACACTACGAAATGTTTGTCTCTTAGGTACATCGAGTGCGACCTATCATAGTCGAAGGACGTAACATTGTTCATATCAGACATAATTAATGAGTGCTCTTATTCTGATAAGTGACAAATTGCAGCGAGAAGCGCAAAAAAAAAAAGAAAAAAATTCTCTCTCGCAAGAGACAATTAAACAAACCTCATCGTTACATGTATCGCGAACCTTGAGGAAATTCGCATATGCAAATATCTGCTTCGCTTCGCGTAGAATTATTGTTTCTCAGAAAAGAACACGTGACGCACGGACAAATTTTGCATGCGTAGGTGGAAAAGCGAATATTGTGCGGAAATTTCGCGGAAAATTAACACTCGGCAGTTTTACAAGAGCAAGAGAGAGAGAGCGTTCGCGATCTATTACCGGCTGCTTCCCTGTTACAAGGCATAAATAAACGAAGCCCTTATGGATTAGTGGCGCGTACAGCGGAGCTGGTAAAGTGGAGCAGTGGTACAAATTCAATAAATAGGTTTTTCCGGCAAATCGACGATTAAGAATCGTCGACGAGGGGTAGCATCGGGGACAATATGTAGAGCCGTTGGCGATCGATGGACACCTGCGGGTTCCTACGGCTTTTTTTCGAAAAATTCGACCTTTCGTTCCCTCGTCCTCGTCCCGGAGGAAAACCGTCCGGATGAGAGGCAGAGAGGGCGCGAGAGCTATCTTCGACTTGGCTATTTATTCGACATTTCGTCTGTCACGTACGTCGAGATTCGTCGATATCTTTCTTCGAAAACGAAGGAGACGAGTGAAATGTCCAGAGAGTCTCTCCCACCCTCTCTCTCTCTCTCGCGCGACTGACAGCGAATTGACGTACGGGCACAGATAGGGTTAGGTATGAGTTAGCGACATTGCACGTTTCTCGTCGAGAGGAGCACGTCGCGCGACCTCGGATGCACGCACGAATACGCGCATCCTATTATGCCCTGGCCGAGGAAGGCGAGCGAGCCGCCAAGCGACAGCGCGTGCGAGCCTTAAATCGGCCTTACGTCATCTTGACGACGTCAAACCGAGCACCCGCTCTGTATGCAATTCAAGCTCGTCTCCTCCTCGCGAGCAAATGCGAACTCTTCGCTCGCCCCTTTCCGCGAGATTCTTCGCGCGAGACGCGTTTCCTGGTGGACGCGAAGAGGCCGGGCAAGAAGGGAGAGAAGAGAGAGAGAGAGAGAGAAAGGAAGCGGAAAAAGTATACTTATACGACGCAGCGGAGGAGGATGATACGATTCCCTTCGCGATACGATTTTTTGTTCCTTTGTTGTTTTTCTCCTGACGTACCTCTGAATCGTAGCTCGCTCTGCGGCTCGATGATTAAAACCTGCTCGGGCTTTTCCACGGGCTTCGATGACATCCTGACTGGCGGAGCGAGACGAACCTTCCGACGAACGACGAGTCACGGCGTTGTTGGTGTCTTCTCTTCCACCACCTCCTCCTCCTCCTCCTCCTCCCTTCACCACCTCCTCCTCGCCTTCCTTCGTCCGTCTGTTGTAAGCGCCAACGGTGATTCCGGCGCGTTTCGAGCCCCGCGTGGACAATTTGACAGGTGTTACCTCGGCTCTGTCTGTCACGTCGCGATCGCGATTTCTCCTCCGCTCGGCTGCGTCGGCCGTTCCGTGCGTCGTGTCTCGTTCTCGTTTCGTGCCGTATCTTTTCCGAGATTCCGTTGGACTGTCTCCGATTCGCGGCCGACCCTCAATGCGCATGCGTCGCGACGATATTGTCCGAGGCGCAGGAGGCCGCGTTACGTCACGTCGCGGTCGGTAAGAACGCGCCCAACTCTGCTGATGCCACCCTGTCCGAAAAATGTCAATTGCACTTTTATTATTTATTTCGATATAATCTTTCAGACATTTATTTATATACATTGGGAATATATTTATAGATATTTTTTTATGCGAAATTCCAAAAAAGCTTTATTAGATTAGCACGCTTCGACGAGAGATGACGAACTGAAGTAAGGTTTAAGTGAGTTGAAGCGAGTTGCAAATCGAACTAAATAAATGACGAATTGACGTTTAAATATCTCGAGCTCTGATAGGCTGAGTATATTAATCGAATGTTTTGACAAAAGGCGCGAATTTTTAAAACACTATAATTTTTCTCCTGCATTTCGGTCTCTTTTAATTTTAAATCGTTGCGATCCAGTATATAAGTGTCCTTTAATATTCTCAATTTTTTTACTTCATTCAATTCAATCTTCTGACGACGCATGCGCAGAAACGAAGTCGTGTGGCGCGCTAACCATGTCCATGTGTAACCCCATAACCTAAGCCAAACTAGTTTTTTACTCCGAGTATTAATTTAATGGTAGAGTATAAGAAGAAGAAAGGAAGAATTGTGGAATAGAGATCATATTGCGCTGAAAATTGCTGTAAAATAAAATTCCTCTTGTTCTTATAATCTGGAAAACCGAGATTATTGCAGAAAATATACGATGGAAAATTGGGATACTTCTGATACAAACACAAATGGGGATATGTTTAGAAACATGATATTCGCAGATCGATCACCTGTGGTTAATAAGAATCTACAATTTCTCTTGATTTATGATGGTAAAGATCTACAAGAGATCTAGAATCTCTCAATCTATACTTATACTTTTATTTCAATTTTTCATTGCAGAATCTAATGCTCTCCTTGGAGGCACCAACATGGTTGATCTTTATTGGACCGGTACTCTCTGGCATTTTAAAGACATCTCAGATTTTACTAGGGAAAAAGCTGCTGTGACCCAGCAAATGAGCAATGGCATTTGCGATGCTGTTTATCTAGGCTATGACAAGTTTGTCGTTGTGGAAGACAGCGGTGCAGTACAAATCATTGAAATAGTTCAATCAGTAGAGAAACAGTCTGAATTTCAATTTCTTGAACGCACTTGTCAGCATGATGACAGCATCTTAACAGTGTCTGGATTTTCTAATAAAAGAAACATTGTCACGGGAGGAATGGATTATTGGTAAGATGTTTCTAAAAGTATATAATATCTTATCGCAAAGGAGCAAATATTAATCTGATACTTATTGCAGTTTAAAAGTCTGGGATGTTGAAGATTTAGTAGCAACATATTCTTATAGTTTTGCACATACGGATATTATCACTAGTACAGATGTAAAGCCTATGTGTAGTTCCGAATTTATATCCGCCTCTTTAGATGGTGAAGCATTACTTTGGGACATTAGACGAGCAAAACCAGCACATTGTATTTATCATTTGATTTTTTAGTTAAATGTAACAACGATGTTTACATTTATTTTATTCTATATATTTACATCTATTTTTTTAGGTATCTTCAAGAAACACGATTGTCACTTAACAGCAGTAGCTTGGAGTACTGGTTTAGATCATCTTATAGCAGTAGGTGCAGCTGATGGCAGCATTGCATTAATTGATGTGAGACAAGCAGATAATCCATTATATGAATCAGTTGAATCTGCTAGAAGCATACATAAATTGTTATTTAATCCAAATCCAGAGAAGTAAGAATTTAATAAACATCAATTTACATAATTAATAACGGTTTACAAAAAATGATTTTTGTTAAGTTAATAGAATTTAGCATCTCTCAATAACAATGAATTTGATCATTTATGATATTCTCAATCTTTGTAGGAAAGACCAATTAGCTTGTTGTTCTGATGACACATCTGTGAAAGTTTTTGATACCTATAGAGAGATGCTACCTACATTTGAAGATAATAGTCACAATGATTTTGTACGAGGACTGGCCTGGTACAAAGATGACTTATATTCATGTTCTTGGGACGGAAATGTGATTAAACATGTAGTATTTTCTAGTAAAGATGATTCAAGTTAATAATAATGTATTAAAATTTTATAACATTAATTATTTTCTATTTTTCTTTTTTATACATAATTAATATTTCAATATTGAAAACAATATTGTACATTATATGCAAACAAATAATGACAATTTATTTTAATTTGAAGAATATACACATGATATTGATATAAAATATAAACTTGCAAAAAACTTGAAATGTTTAATTTTAATTTAATTATATCTTCATTGCTCAACCAATGATTTGGGATGTGACGAATTTTACTGCATTTAAGATATTGGAAAACATTCTCTTTTCATATTTATTCAAATCTCTTGATCATCATTTTGGACATTTCTACAACATAGTTATTATGCTCTCTGTGATTATTCAGTATACTATTATTGCAGAAACACACAAAAGTCGTGTATTTGAAATGTATGATATTATCGCTACATATAACGGTAATGTCAAAGTCAGATAGTTGAGAGGCAACAAAAATTTCTGTATATTATGGATCTTAAATATCGCAACGTTCCTAAAATAATTCAAAACAAGTCTTTCTTTTGCTTTCTGGTCCTACAATGTGTATTATGTATATAGCATATCCAATAGGATTTTATTTACAAAATAGAGTCAACGAGATTAATGATAAAGTGAACAAAATATCGCAGATAAAAGTTTATAATCACAAAGTGTCTAAAAAAAAAAATATATATATATATCGATCAATAATTGAAAATGGTGGATTAAAGATATAATATATATAATAATTCTGATAAAATAAACGTTTATTCTGTGATGCACAGAGAATATAATATATATTCTTGTAATATATACTCTAATATGTATTCTTTGTGCCACAGAAAATTGCGAATTATTTTACCTGACAGCATACAATAGATAACATTTGTTTATTGTAAATATTTCAAACACTTAATTTTCGTATTTGTTCTTGTACTGCAATTTGTGTAGGACTGGATTTGTAGGACAACTGCATAATTTCTCGTAAGTACATTAATATCAAACTTGTTTATGCATATAACGCGGTACATGTATAATGTGAAATTTATTCGAAAGAGACGATAAAGAAAGATAGCATAAGTGTACAATCTTTCCTTCGCATTATTATTATATCCCCATTTGTGTATATGTTAAATCCGCGCGCACGCGTGCATACATACAGACACACACACACACACACACACACACACACACACACACACACACACATGCATACACCCATCGTGTCACTTCAAAGTTGAAAATTATTTCTCGGATGACACCAATTATTTCTCGGATGTCAAATGTCGCTTTAATTGAAAATATTCTGCTGATACTCTGATATTCTGCTGATATGAATTTTTCCTATTTCTGTTTAGCTATCAGTGTCCGATTATATTTGCGATTACAAACATTCTACAGCTATATAATCATCCTTGCATATAAAAACTTCAAAAGAGTAGCACGCGCACAATAGTAAATATGATTATTTATAGAAAAAGCAAGTAATTCATGTATATAACATGATTGAACGTATGTAACGTGTTGAATTGCACATTGAAAATTTCATATGAAAAATATTGGATCCTCAAACAATTTGCATTTGCGGTACCAAGTTAATAATGAATATTTATGTCGATGAGAATACGATGTGCCAACGATTGCGTAGTTTCGTCCAAAGACTACCTGCGTGCGCACTTTGTTCATTGTATTATAGAAATTAGTAAAATCGTTATGTACAATCCTTTTCTTTTATATACTGAGATATATAATTGCAATTTGCGACTAACACGACATTGTAGCTCCCATATCGACATTCATTATCCTTATTTTACCTATGTAGCATACATAGTATCATATACCTATTGTGTTTTTTTGCTTTTTTTAATTTTTGTTTTTCAATAACACGATCTGTCCTTTTCTTCCTCGTCAATAATGTTTCCCTCATATTTGAGCATTTATATCAATTACAACCCAAACTCTTTGTCGTCATCCTCTGGTCTTACATCTCCGTACATCCAGATATTGCGATGATTGTGCTTCGCATCTTCCTCAGCCTTCTTGTATTCCTCGATCTGTAAATTAGTATAAATACACCCATATAAATTTTCATAATAATTCTCATTGATACAGATTAAACTGCGACGAAAATAAAGTTGACTCACTAATTTAACGAGCCTCCTATCTCGATGCTTTTGAACGTGCAAGAACCCGTCAGAGATGAGTCCCTTTCCGATATCCTCATTTGTGCTTGGGTGCATCAGTGTCACGGCAACTACGTTGTTGCTCAACTTATATTCGATATTTAACAACAAAATTTTATCCAGTACGTCCTCCTTAAATGCGTCCACTGCCGCTCTCTTGTCATCAGTCTGCAAACATACATTATTTAAGGTTCCTAGCTTCTCACTGATTATATTGAAATTGTGACATCAGAGGCGAGAAAACACACGCTAAAAATTCTTACATGCCATTTCGAAATAAAAAGATATTTCGATGAAACAGCACTTAGATAAGCTATAAAATGATTGTAATGAAGCCAGTAATAAGGCCTAATTTGTCTGGTCTTTGCATATGATAAAGTCTGATATAAGATTGATTGAAAAGGATAGTTTTCAAGGCATTTTAAAAGTATGCTAAAGTTATTTAAAGTAATGTTTCATTAAAATATCTTTTCATTCAAAAATGATATCTAAGTATTTTCAGCGTGTACTTTCTCGTCTGACGTCACAATTTAATATGGTTGCGACAAGGATCCTTAAGTATAATGACGCATATTTCGAAAAAAAGATTGTAAAAAAATGTTACTTACATCACTCGGAAGAGTTACACATGCGAGGGCATATTCGTGAGCGTATGGTTTGTCGGTTGCAAAGCGCGCAGGCAGATCAGCTACTCGCGTAACGTTAAGGGTTTCTCTGTTCCCGTAATCGATGTAGAATACGCTAACATTAGTGCCAGAGACCTTTTCCGTTTTCACGCGATACCACTGATCGTCTCCGCTGAATTTTGCGACCGCTAAATCTCCCCTGGTCGGCTTGTAAGCGCCAGGAAGTGGTGGATTAGCAGCTAGCTCTTGACGTAATTGCTGAAGCATGTTCTCCAGTAAGGTACCCTGGTCGACAAACTGAGAATAGAAGTGAAGGTCATCGGTAACCTCGGATATTACGACCTTCTGATAATCGATCTTGCGCTCCTGCCCTTCCTTTTCATCCACGATCTTGTCGCTCTCCACTGGCACTTCCACGCGATTTTTCCAAATCTATAACATAAAGTAAAATATTTATTATTAAATATATATATTTTAATTTTTTTATTAATTCAATTAATCAAATACGTGTTTATTTACATTGAGTTTTTTTGCTTTCGCACGTTCCTCCGCAGCTTTAAGAGTTCTTGTGAGTTCTCCGGAGTCTGGGAAATTTACAACTTCAGCCAAGCCTTCTTCAACCAGAGCGACGGACATATTGACATCGTTCACTGTCAACCAACCAATAAAACCGCTCAACTTTGTTTCCGTGTTCTCAATCTTGATCTCTACATCTCGTTGGAAACAGTGCTCTTTGGTAAAGGCCAGTGCTTTCTCGCCGTATTCGTCAGCTTTTACTACTCCGCCACCAGGCAATGTTCTTTGACAACGCGGAGTCCTTATTCCAGCCAACACAAACGTAATAACGTAATCCTCCTTGGGAAGATAGAGTTTCAGACGCGAGCCGCTCGTCACGAATTCAACAACTCCTCTAATTCCCTGCGCTCGCTTCAGCGAAGTCAAGAACGCTTTCGCTTTTGAAGGATCATTCGAGAGATCCACTATTCTGTGAACTGGAATGTCTTTTTTCGCATGCAGTCCGTGTTGTGATTTTTCCGCTTTACTCTCAGCGACCTGCAGAAGATTGTAGTGAGAAGACCGCTGATCGTCGTTCTGCCTGTACTTGATGACTCGTGCAAGACCTCGTGCGACCAGAGCTTCTGCGATATTCCTGTCGACATTAAGAAAACAGAACGATTAACGATTTTCTTAGCAATTCTTGATGCAAATCATCGATCTCCAATTTACTTACGTTTTGCCGCAGGTTACGGTGCAGCAAAACTTTTCCGGGAAGTTATCCCTAGCCGGCTGTGTATAATCGACGACCACTTTTACGTTCTTCCTGATAAATTTCTCACGTAAAAATTCTCGCGCTTCCAGCATCCACGGTATGTCATAAAGAGGTCTGAAATCTTTTGGCCTAGCAGTATTATTACTGTCTTCGGTGTTTTTCTTCTCGCGAGTGGGCGGTCGAATACTGCTCAGAAATACTTTCTTGTTTTCTCCATTTTGCGTTCGAATAATGAGCGCGTCCGCGTTGATAATTTCCACGATGGTGCCGGTAAATTCAATTTGTGGACCAGATGGTTTGTAGTCTTTCCAAAGGCGCAAACGCGCCTCCTTCGCGGCCTTTTCGGCGAGATACAACTTCTCCGCGCCAGATCTACTGTTGCTGATCGACCAGTCCTGACATTTGGCAAAACCCTCGCTCAACAAGATTTCGGCAATGTTACCTAATATGAAAAAGTACAACAAATATAAATTCAATAGGTTCTACACATAATTCTTAGTACATTGATTGTCATCAATTATTCTGAACATGCATTACTTACCTTTAGGATGAATAATGCTGCCAATAAAATTATTATTGTTGACTGATTCTAGCACAATCTCGACATCTCTGTGTAAGAGTCGCGATTCCACAAAGTATCTAGCTTCGTCCGCATAAGGATCGCCGACAGAATTTTCACGCCGCCCGTTGGGCCAGCCAGGGCAACGAACTCCCGAGATCATGAGCGTTATATTGTAGAAATCGGGCAAGAGGAATGCTTTGACGGTAGAACCATCAAAGACGAATTCGATCACCGCTTTGACGGGTTTCTTGCCGAATTTCTCAACCAATTTTCGAGGATCGTCGACGGTCCATTTGATATCGCGTATGTGCTCAGAAGTCGGCGTATCCGACCATTTCCCCTTCTTTGCAGCTTTTGCAATGTTTTCCAGCTCCACCAATCGTTGTTGCTCAGCCGTAGGATTGCGATTATCCTTCTTAACATTCACCAGACCCTCGGATACCAAAGTTTCGATCACATTTTCACCGTTCCTGTCTACAAAGTAATAATTACAAATAAGAATCAATTTTTCAACTTCTCTCTCTATGTAATTATTATCAATTATACAAGAAATACCTTTTCCTAACCAGACTGTTCCATATGTTCTGGCTGTATTGACTGACTTTTCAGTGGCAAAGGTGACATCTTGACCAATCAATTTCCGGCGTAGGAATTCCCTCGCTTCCCAAGCATATGGCTCATCCTTAGTCTCATCCGTACTACAGAAAAATATATTGTTATTGTATTATTTTTACAATCAAATTATTGTTACTAAATTTAGAAATAATTTTAAAGAATCTTTATGAGTGAAAATTCTATATCTATACTTATAAATATGATTGTATTTATACCTGTCATTTCCTTTCCAACGTTCTAATTTTGGAGCAGTAATGTTGCATAGAGTAATTGTTACTTCAGGTGGAGGCCCTCCCATGGGCTGTCCACGAATAACAACAGTATCACCAGACGTTACCTTTGAAAATAGTTTTACATTGTGAGAAAATTTTGTCGCATCTCTAAAAATAGCTAATACTACATGATATCTCGATTAAGAATATTTATTACGCAATTGTTAATACTTTTCATAGAACTTTTCCGAGTGCTAATAAACTCTTAGCAAAATAAGATGCAAATGAAATAAAGTGAAAGAAAAGATAAATGAAATAAGAACATTATATTAAATATTATCATTATATACACAAATATATATTTGATACAATGCTTCAAAACACATGGAATGTTACCAGGGTTGCCAGATCTTCGATTATTCTCTGGAATTTCTGGATGAAAAAAAGAAAATTTCTCACTCTACATAAAACCTTTTTCTCTCTTCTTCGCGCGCGTGGCATTCATACACTTTCATGTTCCTAATCACGTTTTATCTTATAAAATTTATCCTATAAATTCGCGCACGCGTATTCGATTATGCAACCTTCCTATTATTAATATTTTTTTTTTAATTTTTTCTTTTTAGACGATTTCCGAGCGAATCTCTGTACCGACCTGGCAACCAACATAAAAGTGCCGCTAAGATGATACTTCAGATTTTGAAACCATATGTTCCGCAGGCTGTTTCCTGCCAGCTGGGCCGAGCAGACAAGAAGTCAACATAATAACGGGAGTCACGCGAGAAAATCGCCGAGGAGAGACACAAGCATGTGCATTCGTCGCAATAAGATAGGCCGGCACCGGGATGGGATTGGATTCCTCACCTGCTTCACCACTCCGTTTCTCAATTTCACTGGTGCTTGAGGCGCGCTCATGATGTTGCACAAGTCGGTTCCTCCGAAGAACGATCAAAAATTCGGGAATTAATTCGAGTCGAGTCCTTATTAGCGCCTCCGCTCGTGCGCTCTCGAATCTGATTCTATGTAAATCACTCTCGTGCACTCTGTGTCCCGTGAGAGGGAATCTGTCGCGTTCTTCTGTGAGTAAAAAAAAAATCTCGACGACTCAGGAGTAAGTTGACATGTTGGGGCTCGTAGCAGGCGAAAACGGGCAGGTAGAGGCAGGCGGTCGCTCACGCTCTCCACGATACGATTCCACGTCGTCGTACACCGTGTTGTTCCGGAGTAGTAGCAGTTGCTCGGCACGCGAGCGCGATCTACAATCGAAAACACGCTCCCGAATTCGTTTGATTCGGTGGTGATGTGGCAACACGCGACACGCGGTATGGTGTCGCCCTCTGTGCCAAGACTTTGACATTAAGAGGGGGGAGAGGTGGCGCGAGAGTTGAACCGACGCAGAAATATCGTATAAACATATAATAAAAAATAATATATATATTATATAGAATATATAAATAAATGATATTGTATATATAATGATATATATATATATAAAATATTAAATATATATATATATAAATTACTTATAATATATAAATAATTTATAATATATAAATAATTACTTATAATATATAAATATATTTCTGTCTATGAATCGAAGTGAAAATTTTTACATTTAGCGCGCAATCGCATGACATTGCATTTTTATGATTTTAAATAGTCCACTGAGATAATTAAAAAACATTAATGTTATTAACTATTTTAACTGCATCGAAAATAATTGCATTCAGCTATTTTTCTACTATTAAAGATATATCTCAATTTTTTTTTTTTTTTTTAATAAATATAAATGGTTTATAGATCATCGTTTATTATGCATAATCATCACATAATAATCACATGGGATACAGATACATAAACATAAATGTAGTAAAGAACATTTGGTATTTTGGACAAATGTAATGAATAAAAATGTACATATCTGTATACATAGATTTTGTGATTTTTAAATAAAAGACTAATATGTAAGAAATAAAATGTAAAACTTATTATTACTAAAGACAGTCTTGTTCTATTGTTGATTTATGCATTAATAAGACATTATAAACAAGTAGCATTTTTTTTTTAATGACTTGCAAAAAATTTTTTTTTCATTAGATATCCTTTACATAGATGCATTATGTCTGTTCGTTTTGGCTACACTGGCCATATTATATATTAGTGTAACCAGTGCCAAAATGAACAGATCTATTTTCATTATCTCCTATTATTTCTTACATTCTAAAAACAAATGTAATTACTTAAAAATAGATTTGATCTAATATCTAATACATGTTCTCTGTGCAAGAAACAGAGATTAGAAAGATGAAAAAGAACATTATAGATATGAGAGGTTCCGCCAACAAGGTGATACAATGATAATAATTGGATAAGATATTTACAATCTTTTATTATCCTCCACATACATATGTGAATTCTAAAAATAGTTGTAAATTCTAAAAACAGATGTAATTTTAAAAATAAATTTAAACATTTAATTTAATTAAAAACATGGGGTAGATTAGGTTTCAAGAATTTGCATCATTGGAATATCCCTTCCACATTTAAGGAAATATTCTACTTTCCCTTCACAATTCTTTTATCTAAAATTTTCTCCACACTAAATTCCTCTTCCCTTTCATTGTCCGCTGCAGATAAATCCTAATTTTGCTCATTATTGTACATTAGGACGTTATTACACCGTATCTTCTTCATAGAAGAAAAGAATAAATAAAGCACATTTGATACTTAAAGTATAATTAAGTAAAATATCATTTTTCTACAGATTTTAAAATCTTTATAATAGAAAGACTATTTTTCTGAGGAAAAAGAAATATTTTACTGAATTTTAAAAATAAAATTTTAATTAACTTAAAATTAAATTTAAAAAATTTATTTTAAAATTGTTCAGACTTAATTTTACTTTAAGTATTGAGCGTTTTTTTCCCTCTAATATGATTAAATATTACGTTTTTAAATTAACTATTATATTGTTAAATTTATTTTTAAGATTACATCTGTTTTTAGAATTTACATATATTTTTAGAATTCTATATGGAGGATAATTAAAAGTTGCAAATATCTCCATCTAACTACTTGTAAGTAAAAAAAATCGCTAAATACTTTTGTAATGTCTTATCAATGAATCTAAATAAAAATTTAATTAAAAGTCTTAATCTACTTCCTCCATTCTCGACGCCTCCTCTGCATCACCCTCCAACAATGGCACTTCCGTGTCCATCTTCTCATCTTCAGGATTCGGCGTATCCTCGTCATCGAAGCCCAAGCCGAGTTTGATCATCCTGTAGATTCTGGACGCGTGCACTTGAGGATCTTCGAGTGCAAAACCAGACGACAAGAGGGCAGTTTCGAACAACAACATGACTAGATCTTTAACAGACTTATCGTGCTTATCTGCTTCGGCTTTTTGTCTCAAATTCTCCATGATGGGATGATCGGGATTGATTTCTAAATGTTTTTTCGCAGCCATGTATCCCATAGTGGATGTGTCTCGAAGGGCTTGGGCCTTCATGATTCTTTCCATATTCGCCGTCCAGCCATACTGTGATGTGACGATACAGCAAGGTGAATCGACCAGTCTGTTGGACACAACCACCTTCTCCACCTTTTTGTCCAAGATATCCTTCATAACTTTGCAAAGATTCTCGAACTTGGCCTTGTCTTCCTCGCGCTTTTTCTTCTCTTCCTCATCCTCGGGCAATTCCAAGCCCTCCTTCGTAACGGATACCAACTGCTTTCCATCGAATTCCTTCAGTTGCTGAACGACGTACTCGTCAATGGGTTCAGTCATGTAAACGACCTCGAAACCGCGCTTCTTTACGCGTTCCACGAATGAGCTGTTGGCGACTTGCTCCCTGCTTTCACCGGTGATGTAGTAAATGTGCTTCTGGCTTTCCTTCATTCTACCAACATAATCTTTAAGCGAGCACATTTCGTCACCAGATGCAGAAGTGTGGTAGCGCAACAATTCTGAGAGCTTCTTCCTATTCTGACTATCTTCATGAATACCTAGTTTTAAATTCTTGCTGAATTGCTCATAGCACTTCTTGTAGTTTTCCTTATCTTCTGCTAATTCTTCAAAGAGCTCCAGGCATTTCTTGACGAGATTTTTCCTGATAACTTTCAGGATCTTATTCTGTTGCAACATCTCTCGAGAGATATTCAGAGGAAGATCTTCGCTGTCTACGACACCCTTGATGAAGTTCAGATATTCAGGAATCAGGTCCTCGCAGTTGTCCATGATGAAGACACGTCGTACATACAGTTTGATGTTGTTCTTCCTCTTCTTGTTCTCAAACAGATCGAATGGCGCCCGACGTGGGATAAATAACAGAGCTCTGAACTCCAACTGCCCTTCTACAGAGAAGTGTTTCACAGCTAAGTGATCTTCCCAATCATTGGTCAAGCTCTTGTAGAATTCGCCATATTCTTCCTGAGTAATATCATCTGGATTTCTCGTCCAAATCGGTTTCGTCTTGTTTAATTCCTCATCTTCGGTATACTTTTCTTTGATGGTCTTCTTCTTCTTTTTCTTCTCATCTTTGGGTTTATCTTCTTCCTCATCCTCGCCGACATCCTCAATCTTTGGTTTATCATCTTCAGTCTCGCCCTCTTCCTTTGCAGGTTCTTCTTCTTCATCTTCGCTCAGTTCCTTATCACGTTCCTTCTCTACAACGAGCTTGATGGGATAGCCGATAAACTGAGAATGCTTCTTAACAATCTCCTTGATTTTCGATTCCTCCAAATATTCAGTCTGATCTTCTTTGATGTGCAAGATGATCTTTGTGCCTCGTCCGATTGGTTCGCCATTATCAGGGCGGACTGTGAACGAACCTCCAGCAGAAGACTCCCACAAGTATTGCTCATCATCGTTATGCTTTGAGATTACAGTGACTTTGTCAGCCACAAGGTATGCGGAGTAAAAGCCTACACCAAACTGTCCAATCATGGAAATATCAGCACCTGCCTGCAAAGCTTCCATGAATGCCTTAGTGCCAGACTTGGCAATGGTACCCAGATTATTTACGAGATCAGCCTTGGTCATACCAATGCCACTATAAAAAGAAAAAAAGAAAATTTGTTAATTACTGTTATATTAATATATTTTATTTGTGTATAATTTCTACAGAAAATTGATACTTACGAATCAAGAATTGTCAGGGTACGATCATTCTTATTTGGTACAATCTTGATGAACAATTCCTTGCACGTATCCAGCTTGGATGGATCCGTGAGAGATTCATATCGTATCTTGTCCAATGCCTAGACATAAATTGATGGAAAAATTAATATTGTATCTTCAATAATATTTTTTTATTGCACATGGAGATTTACATAAATATTTCATAAAATTTCTGTATATAATAAAAAAATTTACAAATTTTTCTTCAAATTAAAAAAATGTTTTTCAAAATTTAATAAAATATAAATCTATTCCACACATGTGCATTGGAATAATTTCAAAATTAATATACTATTATCAAGGTTCATTTTTTAATTGCACATGGAGATTCATACAAATATTTCTAATAACGCCTTCATAAATTTTGGAATATATATAATAAAAAATATTCTTTCATAAATTCTTCTTCAAATTACAAGTTAAAATACACATGTTTTTCAAAATTTAATAAAATACGAAGCATTTCATCATATTAAGTACGCTGACTTAAATAAGAATAAAATTATGTGTATATTTCTCCATATATAAAGAACAAAGTGTGTTTATATTAATTTATTCAAAGATTGCATCAAAAAACTATCTCACATGTGCATTAAAATAATTTCATAATTAATATTCTATTAATAAGATTCATTTTTTAATTGCACATGGAGATTCAAGCTGTTTCATAAAATTTCTGAATATAATAAAAAAATTCTTTTACAAATTTTTCTTCAAATAAAACGTGTTTTTCAAAATTTAATAAAATATAAAGCTATCTCATACGTGTATTGAAATAATTTCACAATTAATATTCTATTATCAAGGTTCATTTTTTAATTGCACATGAAGATTTACGCAAGTATTTCTAATAACGCCTTCATAAATTTTGGTATATAATAAAAAAACAAATTTAACAAATTGTCTTAAAGTAAAAAATTAAAAGACACGCGTTTTTCAAAATTGAATAAAACTTTTTTTACACGTGCTCGAAAGAATTTCGCGAAAATAGGGCACGACCGCGTGGTCGATTTTCCACGAACAATCGCAGCTACTCACATCGGACGAGTTGGAGATCAATTCTCGGATGAAGATTTCCTTGTTCGAGTAGAACGTGTTGATGATCAGGCTCATCAACTGAGCGATCTCGGCCTGGAAGGCGAAGGTCTCCACATCGCCGGTTTCCGCCATGCTCACGTCCTCGGGCATATTTCGAGGTTTTATTAAATTGAATTTGATGGAAAACTCAACGAAGACGTCGGTTACACGCTATTAAAGCACTAGTGTACTCGCAATCTTTTATTTGACAATCGGAGACGAATAAAGGAAAAGGAGAGAATCCTCGACGACACGTCCACCACGAAATCACGTTGAAGAGTGTTGAATTGTGGCGCGCTGCAACCCTTTTTTATGCTCTCCCTCGAACTGCCTCGAAGATTCTAGAAGCTCTGGAGGAAGCCCGCCCGCTTCTAGAAGCTTCTATCAAGTTCACTCCTCGGGACCGTACCTCGAGGTGCGAAACCACCCCCGAGATCGCGAGTCGCGCGCTCGCAAAATCTCACCTGTCAATTAAGAAAAATTATTCATTGGGCGAAAAATTGATTAATCAGACTCGATCGAATCCATCGGTCGCTTCGCTCTCGCGACCAGCGCGGTAACCGGAAGTGACGGCGTCCCTTCTGGGATCTAGAAGCATCGCGATAGCTCGAAAACGTGCTCTTCGAACGAACGTTCCCCGGTGCGAGACGCATGCGCGCTCCGTCGTATCCTAGGTGCGCACGTGTAATCGATGACCACGTCTTCCTCGGAAGGCCTTGCTTCGTGTTTATATCTATCAAGGATGAATTTGGACGCGAATTTTCCAGACGTTTCTATTTTAGCTCCGTAAAACGCAAGAGCGTTTTTTTACTATTGATTTTTTTCTGTCAAACAAATCCGAGAATTTTTAGAATTTTTTACATAATGTAGGTCGAATTTATTTATTTTTGCATGATAAATTATATGATTCACGCAGATTTTAAAGACAGATATTTTTATTGACAAGCATATTCTCATATCAGTATATATATATTATTTAATATATTTATCTTTTTAATTCTCTCAAAATCGACATTTTGACATTTCTTTGCCTCGCGCACGTGGGACTGACAAATTCGTCCTGAAGTTAAATCCGAGTCGAAGCGTCGATTATATCGCATTGAATCGTTTACTCGATGACGAAAGCGTCAGTAGAATAGTTGTACACAAAGTACACAAAGTAAATCTCGCCTTTTAATCATACATATATATATTTCGCGCGTTCCATTATTGCGTGCTCGTTTCTCGCAGACTCATGGATCCTGGAATCCTCTCGAGGCTGATCCCTCAGAACAAGGAACAGGTACGACCTGCCTGTAAAAAGTGCGGATACGCCGGACACTTAACCTATCAGTGTCGGAATTTCATCAAGATCGACCCGAACAAGGAGATTGTGCTGGACGTCAGCAGCACGAGCTCCGACAGCGACGAGAATTACGTAACCCCGTTGACGGAATTGCGCGAGCGTGAGCTGAAGAAAAAGCTGAAAGACGCGAAGAAGAAGCGCAAGGAGAAATCCAAGAGGAAGCGGAAGAAACGCGGGAAATCGGACAGCGAGTCCGAGTCCGAAGGCTCCAGCAGCGACGAGGAGGAAAAGAGACAGAGACATAAAAAGAGAAAGAAGAGCTCCAAGCACAAGAAACACAAGAAGCGCAAGAAGGACAGCTCGTCCGAGAGTGAAAAGAGTGACGAGAAATAAATTTCATAATCGTGAGTGTGAAGGGATTCTTTTTTCTTTCCAATTTATTCCGTCGTTCAATGTTAATTAAATGTCATGACTGTGACATTTTTTCTGTTTATGCATTTCCTCATATTATGTATGCTGACTCGAATAAGAATGTAATTATGCGTATATTTCTCCATATATAAAGGACGAAGTGTGAATTCATTATTTCAGAGTACATCAGAAAACTATCCTCATCCTAGTTTACAATAAGGACGACATGACAATAGATATGTTTGTCTCGCTTGCACTTTCTAAATTTTCCAAATAAAACGAGATAGATAAACTTTGTGTATATTGAGAGAAAAAGCGTTTCTCATCCTGCTAGAGCATAAATCCACCATTACGTAGATAGGATTTTGTCACTAAATGCATGACAGTTGATAGAAAAAAATCCAAGCATCTGATTGGTCGAATTATTGGTCACTAGAATGTCAACCAATCCGGTGAAGTTAGATGACGTTACGCCATTTTGAAATTTTTAGATGCAATAACCAGCGCATACTGTTCGAGGAGAGGATACAGACGCAATTTTCTCTCAAAAAAGGAAGAATTATTTTGCAAATTATTAATAACAATGACGCGACATGCGAGGAATTGCACTGCAGGTGCAGTATACACATATCACGAGAAAAAAAAGGATGCCGCAGCGTCAGGTTATGGCACCAACACTCAACGTGTGGGCAAGGATTCTGTCAAAGATTTCGATTGCTGCTGCTTGACTCTACAACCTTGTAGGAATCCAGTGATAACGTATGTATTTTTGTAGAATATATATATTTTTTTATGTGAATATTTTTTTCATAATTGTTTTTCAATTTATTATTTTAATTGTCTTTTTAAATTATTATTACAGAAAGGAGGGCTACCTGTTTGACAAAGAGTCGATACTGGAATATATTTTGACGAAAAAGAGGGAATATGCCAGAAAATTAAAGGAGTATGAAAAGCAGAAGCAAAAAGAGAGGTGAACAGAGTTGTACATTTATTGAAAAGTTGAATTAGTCAATACAGTATTTATATTGCTGCTGATTTATTTGTTACAGGAGCAGTCGCAAGAAGAAACTGCTAATGAAGAGCTGAAGAAACTGCAGAATTTTCTAAAGAGTGAAAAAACTATTGTGTCAAATAGTTCTAGCACATCGAATGGAGCTTCTGTGTCTAATATGAAAAATGGCAAAGACAAAGTGTTACCGAGTTTTTGGATACCTTCTAAAACACCAGAAGCAAAGGAAACTTCCTTGCAGAAGCCTGACAAGACTATCTATTGCCCTATCAGTGGAAAGCCATTAAAAATGAAAGATCTGATTCCTGTAAAATTCACACAAGTTCAGGATCCAGATGACAAAAGATCGCTTATTGTCAAACAAGCACGATACATGTGTCCCATAACACATGATATCCTGGGCAACAATGTGCCTTGTGCTGCGATAAGGACAACGTAAGTATGAGTGTCTAATTTCTTTCGTAAATTTTATTACAGTTTGTAATTATTTTTAAATATTTTGTAGTGGTGATGTGGTTACTATGGAATGTGTGGAAAAATTAATAAAAAAGGACTGGATCAATCCTTTGGACAATTCCAAACTGACATCGTCTGATATTATTCAGTTGCAAAGAGTAAGTAATTTATTGAGATATAAAGATATTGAAGAGGGATTAGTATATAACAACTAAAAATATCCATATTCATTATTTCTCAGGGTGGCACTGGTTATGCATCTGTTAATGATTCGTTAGAGGGTAAGCATGAAAGACCAGTGCTGCAGGCATAAGGGGCAATTTATATAGTTTTGTGGCGTATAGGCTTTTAATGTAAACAATGTACATAATTTATTGCAGATAAAAATCTGCAATTAAGCATTGATTAGTATTTATGTATTTTATTTAATATATTTTTTAACAAAAAAAATGTAGCATATTCGTACATAATATGCTATATTATTATCGTTTAGTTCACAGTTAATAAAAATTAGAGAATATGATTGTAAAATACATAAATATGTATCTATATAAATATATAATGCTATCATTATTATGCGCGATTCTACGAGATAATTATTTTAATTTAATATATTATTAAAATTAAAAGTATTAAAAAAGAATGCAAATCTCAATCTTATTTGTTTTATTAAAATGAAATAAATATATATTTAGGTAAAGAGAAGATTTCGAATTAAATTTTTACATACATGTAAAAAGAAAAATAAAAAAGTACAACACTATCAAAAATAAAACAAAGATGTAATAGGAATGCCTTAAATTACAAAAAAAAAAAAATAATTTTCTCGTAATGCTGACTACCTATAATCATGTAGGCAGATCAATATATTTTCATATTTGGCAAATCAAAATGCGCGCGAAAAAATTAAAAAATAATTCGACCTCAACCCCTCTCCCCTATCTGATGTCGGAGCGTCTTGAAGTCGGCGGAGGACGCGGACTGAGAACTGAGAGTGGCGCCATCTTGACCGATTAGTTCTTCGGATGGAGCTCAGTGAGAAAGTCGCGCGCTCCGCCGGGTAAGCGGCAATCTGCGCTCAGGACGACGGTTGTACGATTCGTTCGTTCGTCCGGTTCGCGCGCGCGTCTTTCGAAGGCAGACGGATATTTTCAAACGTTCACGAGCGGGACGCGAAGCGAGATTCGACCGGTCGTGCTGGATTATGTCGATTTACGCGGCGCGGAAAAACCGCGGAGCGCCGACTTCGAAACGTCAAACGGTGACATCGATGACGGGGAAGAGGTGAGTGCGAGTGCGCGATTCGACTTTTGCGATTCCCGGAACGCGGAATCGACGACGCAAAAGTGTCTCTTTGTCCAACGCGCGCGAGTGTATGTATAACTTATTTGTTCGCGATACAAATAATAAGGAAGTTTCGAAGGCGGCAGTTTTTGTATTCGGCGAATCTCAATTTTGGAGAGTGCTACGGTTTTCCTTGTAGCGACCGGAGACGATTATGACACTCGCAGCCGACGATATAAATACGTAAGTAGGACATGTAAATGTAATGCATCGATTGTGTGTTTGTCGGGTGTATAAAATAGCCGAGATGGAAGAATCTTGCGAGTGAGATTTAACTCTCTGCATAATTTCATTGTCCGTGTATTTCCCCCGGCTGTTTTATGCACGCTGATATATATGTATATGTGACAGAAGCTTCTGAAAATAATTATTTATTAAGCGCCATTTCGATCCTTCAGATGGCGTTTTTTTTTTTTTATACATTTTTTCAATTTGCGCGTTGTTTAAAATATTTATACAGTTTGCAAATTCTCACAATTTTTCATAATTTATTTGCAATTTTATGATACTCGAATTTCTGGCGAAACATTAATCGATTTTTTCTTTGGATAATTCGAGTATAAAAAAGCGCGGGAAAAATCTTCCGCTGCTGACACGTGAAACAATACACGTACATCGATTTGACAGGACACGTAATGGACAAGATCGAGGGGGACGATTCGGAATCAACTTCCGTAATGCATTTCTGCTATCGGGAGAGATACAAGACGGTCGGATCTTTTAAAATTTTTATTTTTATTATGTACGACGCTCGAGACTGCTTATCGTCCGCTTGATTTTGTAACCCGCGCAATTGAAGCGAGCGAGGTTCAATGGCTCAAGGAACCGAAGGCGACAACGTATCACAATATCACGTCGCACACAAGAATGGCTCGCAGACGATGATATAACGCGGCTCTTATCGCGTACACGCGTACGCACACACACGCGCGCAGGCGCGTAGTGTTTATACTATATATTTACGCACGCACGCATTCACGCACACGCTGCATGTTACTCGGTGCATCGTCCACGATGAGCAGATTTTCTAAGAAAAAATTAAGGACAAATTTCAACATTTTTTAGACCTTTGTTTCAATATTAGTTTGCGACCAAAGTGGAGATTGACGAGCAAAAAGAAAAAATAATTCGCTGGCTCCACGGAGAGAATTTTCTCTTAGAATTTATTCTGAAAATCATGGTAATCATGGGACAATATGCACTATAAAAATATGTAAAATTACATAAATAATAAGTGTAAAATTACACGATAAACAATAAAAATATATATTTTTTCATTATTTATTGTGTAATTTTACATTTATTATTTATGTAACTTTACATATTTTTATGTAATATATTTTTTTTACAATGTGGTATCGAAAGAATTTCATGAGTTTCTTTGATTAATATTTATTACAATAAAAAAAATATTAATATGTACATAGTAAAATTAATTGAACATATTTTTTATATATTATGGTAGATATTAATATTTTTTATTATGGTAAATATTAATCAGAGAAACTTATAAAATACCTCGTTGTTCCACGATTACTATGATTTTTCAGGATAAATTGTAAGAGAAAATTCTCTCTGTGTATCAGAATTCTTATTCTTGTAGTTTGAAACTGATTCTACTGCGTTGAAATAAACCCTTGCTTTTTTAAATAGATTATGGATAAGAGTATCGTTGTTTTCGACAAATTCTTACGTTAATATACTACGACGTTTTAGACAATGAAATAAAAATAAAGGACAAAATTGAGTTTTGAAAAAATGAATAAATCTAAAGGACTATCTTCTAAAATAAAGAACAGATAGTTATTGTAATCATCCAGCACCCGGTCTGCTTCCTAAAAACAAATCTGTATATACAGGATCTAGTTTAAATCGTCCTCTCTCTTTTATTCAATAATTCTCGTTTGAACTTAATAAAGTGTTTTGTTCTTATAATTTGTCTCTCATAGATTATAAGAAAAGCAATTTATAATCTAGAGCAAGAACTTGAAGACCTAACGTGGTCAGAGAATTTATTCTCTGATATCTATGCTATCTTATATGGAGATAGATTTTAAGAAATAGATTGACCATGAGTTTTCAAGTCCTATAGCTTTCGATTGAAAATTTCTCCGATATTGCCTCTAAAACCAAATTATATAACAACAAACGCTTTTGATATATTAATTTCGAGTGAGTTATTAAATAAAAAAGAGAAAGATTTAAAGAGGAAATTACTTAAATATTATAAAATATTAATTTGTAACTTAGAAGGTCTGATATTGTAGCAAAATTAGGTGTTGAAATAATAATCCATACTATTTTTGAGATAATTGAAAGGGTTTAGATAATTAATTGTTATTATAATATATAGTAAATATAAGCTTTTTGATTCTCTAAAGAATTTATCATTAACACTTGACCTATGTTCATTCAGAAATTTCCCGCAAGTTCAAGAAAAGCGCGAATCAACGCGTCATGTCGCTCCGGATGCATTCGGCACATCGCGGAATATATAAGTGAAAAATTATGCTATGCGTATCACTTGGCTCGTTGCATAATGGTTAAAAACGATGCGATACACAGAACTAAGTGGCGATGCGATTATATAAGCAGCAAACCAGTTGTGAAAAGCTCGAGAAAATACTTTACACGTGCGAGAAATTTACACGTGGCTCTCGGGTGGGCGAACATTGATTTTATTTTAAAAAGAAATTTTATTTTTTAACCCAACATCCTATATATTACACACGATAAATATATTTTTTTCCTTGAATTATATATATATTTATTCTATATACATATATATTTTATAATTTCCCAATGAAGTTTTTTTATTTCTTTTAGGTTCAGCAATATTTTCTATTTTAAATTTATTTACTACAAATTATTTTCATTATACATGTAGTTTACATATTTATCTATTACAATCAATCTGTTACATAAGAAAAATTCAAAGAATGATTCTTTCCGTTATATGTGCGCCAATATATGGGTGTTTGACCGATAGATTTCCGTATTTTTATATACATTTGTTTTCATTTTTAATGGTCACTCTAATTCTTTATATATTAAATTATAAAGTTCGTTTACGCGATAAGATTTCTACTTAAAACTTATAAAATGAAGACATTTATTTTTAATATTAAATTATTAAAAATAATTCCTATAATATTTTTAATAATTTTCAATATTAATATTTTTAATAAAAATAATATTTAATAATTTTTAATAATTCAATAATTTCGAGAACGCACACTAAAAAAATTATGAAATTAATAAATATTTATCTCGCAATACTGCCTTATAAATTATTTATTTGAAACAAATAAATATTTATCTATTTTGAAAAAATTTTATTATATAAGGATTTATCAAATAAATATTTGTTCACACATTAAATCAATATTATTAGTTTCAAATAAATGATTTATACATAAGGTAGTATTGAAATAAATATTTATTCGAATTCACTTGTTTCAACGCACTATTTCAATCTCTTCACATTTTCGCAAAGATAAAATCAAATTCAAATTTGTCAACGGTGTTATATTAAAGATTTATATACATTGTCTGGAGGTACTAAGCTGCGAGACACATCCGCTCTGCGCATACAAGTATATATATATATCTATATCTATGCAATCGCGATATGCACTTTCACCGAGCGATATCGCTCGTATCCGCGAATCTCTGGGACGGTTTTTCCGACCGACTCGCACATTACCCTAAGAAGCAGATTACTTATTCAAGGTTGGTCGGGGAAGCCATCGTCCACGCAAGCAGCCTCGCAAGTGTAATCGATGATTCAGTTTTCCCGACCGTCTCTCGTGCGATTCCGCGCGGTCTCTCTCAGCCCGATATCGTTACGTAACGAACGTATAGATACGCGGATCGTTTCAATCGTGACCGACTGACAAAGAAAAGAAATTATCGAAAGAGCGATTACTATACAAGCGCGATTTTGCACCGAGTTGTGCCACGCAACTTTCGCTCTCGTTAAGGCTCGCTCTTCGTACGTTCCTTCGAAGACGCGAGAAGAGATGCTGCATCGCAAGATGATGCACCGTCGACTTTCACGTATATCGAAGGAATTAATACGGAAGATCTCAGTGGGAATCGATCGACGAATCGAGTCGTGCAGATCGGAATGCGATCGCTCTTAAATCCGCATCGTATTAGAGGGTTTTAGGTTGGCTTGCGACTCGCGGAAGGGGCCGTTTCCCGGTGGGAAAATGACCGCCGTGCTCGAGAATTGCTTTGATATGAGGTAATGCGCACCGCAAAAC